AAGAGACTGAAGCTCAGAGGAATTCAATACCTTTCCCAAGTTAATACAAGGGCGCAAGGGCAGGATCCCAACCAGCGGTGTCTGACTCGCAGGCCAACGGCCCAGGTGTCCCAGTGGCACCCGGAGCAGGGGCCTCCTGGGGCATGGGCTCTGGGGTGGGAGGGGCCTGCATCTGTCTGCAGAGAGTAGTGCAGTCGCGCTCGTTTGTAGACTCTGCCGCCCTCCCTCACCGTGGTCGTCCTTCCTTCCGCTCTCCACTCTCTTGGCCTGGGCACCATTGTCCCCACCGCGTCCATCCGAGCTAGAGTCTAAAAGGGGAAGGGGTGGATCACAAGGCAGCAAGGGGAGCGTGGGTGTGGCAGCCCTGGGAGCAGGGTGGGGAGGGGGTCCTGGGCCCACCCTGGGCCTGCCCTGGGCCTGCCCTCTCTGCTCAGGGCCTCTCCCCGGCCCTCCTCGTGCTGCTCCCTCGGGGATAAGTCTCTGCCAGCTCGCTTGGGAGCAGGGTGGACACAGACCGGGCACTGACTCCCTACTGTGGGCTGTGCCAGGCCCAGGGGCAGCTGGGATTCTGTCCTTGGGGCTGACACTGTACAGGGCCAATCCTGGCTTTAGTTTTTTTTCCACTTGAAACTTGAGAACCTGAGTCCCTTCTGTCACCGTCTTCATTGCTGTGGTGCTGGTCACCGTGGAGCCTTTGTAACTACAGTGGAAGTGGAAGGAGTGGCCAACTGTCACCTTGGGCCACCCCCTTCCCTGAAACCACACCGTAAGTGGCAGGAGTGGACAACAGTCTCTCACCTTGGGCCACCCCATGCCCTGAGCTGGCAGGCTGAGGCTGGGGGTGGAGGTGTCAGTCACTGGTGTCAGTGCAGATCACAGGAGTGAGGACAGAATCCAGGTCGGCAGGACCCACGGGCCTGTGCAGCACTTTGGGTCAAGGTGGGCTGTTCTAACAGGGAGAGTGACGGAGCCGGGTGCCTTGTGATCAGATGCCAGGTGGTGTCCATGCTACCCCCTGGGGCTTTGTCCACATTCATGCTGGATTTCTCCTTCTGAGAGCTTGAACGAGGCACTCTGGTATGGGATATGGGCATCCCCTGTGGCGGCTCGACCCACCGTGCCACAACGCCCACCCTGCGGCTGCTTTTTAGAGTTTGGGTGTGCATCTTTAAGTTCCCTCCAGGCCCTGGACCTGGGAATTATCCCAGAAAGCTGCCTCTCCTGGTTGTCACAGAAGCCAGGGTTGCGTGGCCCTAAGTGGGCACTGAGGACACCCTGCTGTGCATCCCTCGGAGGGGCCTCAAAGTGGCTGTGCCCCCTGCGATGCCGTAACAAGTCCTGGACAGGCTTTGGGCTTCCTTTCCGTACTGCCCGTGTCTCTGAGGACACGGAGGGCCCTGGGCTTGGGCAGTTGATGCTTTCACTGACATGGAGGCTGTCGGGGGAGTCTGAGCCCAGAGCAGCAGAGGGGCTGCCGAACGCGGGTAGCTCCAGGCCTCTAGCAGGGGTGGGGACCCTCTGGCCAGCTGGCCATGCAGGGCCCATGAAATCATTCAGTCTGGTGCTGCCAAGGCAACTGCAGGTGGGACTTGAACTTCAATACGTATCTATAGGAGGCCGGCGCTGTGGCGTAGTGGTTAAGCCGCTGCCTGCAGTGCCGGCATCCCATATGGGCACCGGTTCAAGTCCCGTCTGCTCCACTTCCAGCTCTCTGATATGGCCTGGGAAAGCAGTAGAAGATGGCCCAAGTCCTTGGGCCCCTGCACCCATATGGGAGACCCAGAGGAAGCTCCTGGCTCCTGGCTTTGGATGGGTGTAGCTCTGGTCATTGCGGCCAATTGGGGAGTGAACCAGTGATTGGAAAGACCTCTCTCTCTCTCTCTCTCTCTCTCTCTCTCTCTCTGCCTCTCCTTCTTTCTCTGTGTAACTCTGACTTTCAAATAAAAATAAATAAATCTTAATACATATCTATAGTGGCTACTTTTTAGGCTGATAATTTTGTATGGCCCACAAATGGATGTTATAAATATCTAAGTGGTCCTTGGCAGAAAGCAAGCTCCCCCAGACCTGGCAGAGCCTCCTGGAGAGGGACCCTTTTTGGGAAATGGAGGCAGCAGGACACACCTTACGCCTTGCAGTGAGAATCAGCCCTGAGCTCGTCCTAGGAGAGGATCTGAACTATGTGCACCAATCCTGTTTGAGTATCACCATCACTTAGGAATTCAGGAAAAAATACAGTCAGATCCCGGGGACTGCTCCCCTAGAAGACACCAGTTCATGCGGGGTCTGAGCAGGGCCTTGGAGTCTGCCACGTTCACGGGTCTCCAGGCAGTTCTGATCTGCAGCCAAGGCTGAGAACAGGGATGGAGCTGAACAAGCACGTGTTGGACTGGTGTTGCGGCACAGTGGGTGAAGCCACCTGTGAGAAGCTGGCCTCTCATATTGGAGTGCTGGTTCAAGTCCTGGATGTTTGGCTTCTGATCCAGCTCCCTGCTAATGCACCTGGGAAGGCAGTGGAGGATGGCCCACGTGCTTGGGGCCCTGGACCCACATGGTAGATCTGGATGGAGTTCCTGGCTTTTGTCTGGTCCAGCCCTGGCTGTTGCAGTTATCTGGGGAGTGAACCAACAGATGGACTATCTCTCTATGTGTCTCCCTCTCTCTGTCGCTCTGCCTTGCAAATCAATCAATCTATCTACCTTTAAAAAATCAATAGCCTTGCTTCTCCCTGTAATTTCCCTACAACGTATACCTGTGTTTAGAGACAGGGTAGCAGGTGGGGCCTGCACTGCTTGCGGCTCCCACGGTTCGGACCCCAGATTGTTCTCTGCAGTGCCGCTGTGGAAGGGCTGTCTTGCCTGGGTGCTGCCCGCTGGGCGTGGCCAGGCAGGAGTCTCTTCCCGTTGCCTGGGTGAAGGTTGGGTGTCCTTAGCAGCCTCCTCCTCCGCACCTTGCCTGCCCGAGCTGCTGGGTCTCATGGACATATGGACATTCACGGCCACTTTTCACTCCCCCCCCTGTGGGGAGCAATCCGGACTGGACTGAGTTACTGAAATTAGGACTTATTCTGTGCATCTGCTCTCCCACAATATGGCGCTGGGAGAGAAGTAAACAGCTTCCGCACAGCTGCCTCCAGTTCAACCAATTAACTGTAGGACTTGCTCCTGATTGGAGAGCAGCGTACTCGGCGTTTGGGCAGCCGAGTTGGGATTGGCGGAGGAGGACTATAAAGGAGGAGAGAGACGGCATGCACCGAGAACATCTATGGGGAACATCTAAGGGGAACGCCTGTGCAGCCCCCCAGAGAGCCGGCCGGCGGAGTGCCGCTCCCCTGCGGAAGTGGGGAATGCGGCCAGGGGGAACTGCCCTTCCACGGAGGTGGAAGGGATAGTAGCCAACCCGGGAAGAACCAGCAGCAAACCCGGGGAGGGCCGAGCAGACGAAAGAACAGCGCAGGGTCCTGTGTTGCTCCTCCACGAAGAGGGGGAGCGCCCCCCCCCCCCCCCGTAGCGAAATCCCCAGACAAGGACATCATCAGCAATGATATGAGCCAGGGCCAAGCCAGACTGGGGCAGTGGGGTTGAGTCCCAGCTGCTGCCTTCTGGGGCCTGGGTGGGGACAGTGGCAGGCTGGCTTCCAGAGGGAGACAGGTTCTCTCAGTTCCTGAGCTGGGATTTGTTGCTCAGCCAAAGGGAGTTGGCACACATCCTGCCCTGTCCCCAGGGAGCTGCCAGGGGCTAGAAATACGGGCTCTACTCCTGATTTTATTTTTTTCCATTTTATTTGAAAGGCAGAGAAACAGAGAGATAGAGAGAGATCTGCCACCTGCTGGTTCACTCCCCAAAGGCCTGCAAAAGTCAGTCTCCACAAGGGTGGCAGGGACCCAAGTACCTGAGCCCCCTCTGCTGCCTCCCAGGGTGCGCATGAGCAGGAAGCTGGGTCAGAAGTGGAGGAGCAGCCGGCGCTGTGGCTCACTAGGCTAATCCTCCTCCTGCGGCGCCGGCACCCCGGGTTCTAGCCCCGGTTGGGGCGCCAGATTCTGTCCCGGTTGCCCCTCTTCCAGGCCAGCTCTCTGCTGTGGCCCGGGAGTGCAGTGGAGGATGGCCCACGTGCTTGGGCCCTGCACCCCATGGGAGACCAGGAAGAAGCACCTGGCTCCTGGCTTCGGATCAGTGCAGTGCCGGCCGTGGTGGCCTTTAGGGGACTGAACCAATGGAAGGAAGACCTTTCTCTCTGTCTCTCTCTCTCTCACTGTCTAACTCTGCCTGTCTGAAAATAAAAATAATAATAATAAAAAAAAGAAGTGGAGGGGCCGGCATTCGAATCAGGCACATCGATATGGGATGCAGACATCCCGAACAGTGACGTAATAAATGCTGTACCAAACACCTGTCCTCTGCCTCTGACTTCACCACCGATCGGCTCTGACCTGTGAGAACAAAGGAGTCACCTTTACCCTCAGCCAAGTCACAGGAGAAAGGAAGCGAGGCCCCGGGCAAGAGCTGACAGCTGTCCCTGTAGGCTCGAGGGGGCCTCGGAAGAGGCTGGCAGGGGTCAAGCCTCAGCCACAGGACCCCGAGACAGCCGAGGGGGTCAGAGGCGCGCTTGTTTGCCCAGCTGAGAGTGAGGGCCATGGACTTCACGCAGGCCAAGGCAGGTGCACCCCGAAGGAAATCAGGGGAGCCCATGTCACTCAGAGTTCCTCGTGGGACTTCAGGGCAGTCAGTGTGGGGAGGGGGAGAGGCTTTGGAGAGCAGACACTGATGCAGACAACACCCCGAGTCCCGCCTTCCCTGACACCGTGGTGCCCGCAGCCCAGTGGCGAGGAGTGGGGGGAGGTCTCACTGACACTGACACCCTTGTACCTGACTCTTCCGGCAGGGTCCTGGGACCGGGGTCCTTCGAAGGCTGGAGGCAGATGGGAGAGTCCGGGGCTCCCATGTGTCCCCGCGGAGCGCCTTCAAACGCTTTGTTTTGACTTCTCTCTGGCCTCCCCACAGGTCCCTGGATGTCACAGGGCACAGCCCTCTGGACCTGCAACGACTGTGGTCACACAACAGCGGCTGCCCCTGTACAGCCCCGCAGGCGCCTTCGCCACCCTGGACATGGGTACCCGTGACGATGCCTCCCCGGGTAAGGGTGCCGAGGGGACCCGCTTGCTGGTGTGTTCCAGGTGGAGGGTCTTCACCCTTAGGACCCAGGCTCTGTCTGGGGGAGGAGCCTGTAGTCACATGGCTCCCTGGCCTGGGGCGGGGCTTGGAGCATTCTAGCAACTTGGCCTGAGCTTTGCCTCTACTCGCAGGGGCAGGGTGTGCTGGCTTCTCACAGGACTGGTGCCGTTCTGGGGCCAGGGGTGTGTGCCTGGGCAGACCATGAGGGCTGGGGCTGGGGCAGGGTGGCGGTCTCATTTCTTTGGCCCATGCAGGCGGCCAGCGGCCCCTTAGCATCAGCAGCCGGGACTCCAGGCCTGGCCCTGCCCTTGTGGGTCTTGAGTGTCACCTGGGAAGGGAGGGCCTGGGCCCTGCCTTGACGGACAGCGTGCTGTGGACTGCAGAGCTGCTGAGCCCTGGAGCGGCGGGGGGCCACTGCAGGCGCTTGGACCTTGGGCCAGAGACCCCGAGGGGCAGAGGGCTCTGGGGTGACAGCATTGGCAACTCAGTCTGTTCCCTCGCCCTGGCCTGGGCGGGCTCTGAGGTGCGGCTGCCCCGTGGCTCTGTCCACAGCCAAGGTTGTGGCTCCTGTGGCCGTGTACTGTGGCAGCGTCCCTCGGACCAGCGCCGGGCCTCACGTGCTGCCGCTTGGAGGCGCCAACCCCTGCCTGCCTGCTCTTGGAGAAGGTGAGACAGTGGCTCGCCGAGGCCCGAGGCTCTCTGGGGGCCTTGGGAAGAGGATGGGGCTCCAGCTGGCCACTGCCCAGCCAGGGCCATGGTCATGGGGGAGCCTCATCCTAGGGGAGGAGCTGAGTGTCGGAGGCCAGGGCTTCTCAGGCCACGGTGGGTGAGAGCTCTGGGTGGCTTTCAGCAGGTGCTTCCAACTCTCCACTTCAGGAGTAGGGGTGGACAGAGGGAGGCCCCGGGGAGCAGGCAGTGGGCCTGTCAGCACGCGCCAGGCTCTGCAGGGCAGGGCCTGGGAGGGCATCCAGCCTCGCTTCACGCCTCGTTCCACTCCGTGACTTTCTCTTTGGCTTTGCAGAGCTGTGGTGCCCTGGCCCTGGCTGGAGAACCTGTTGGTTCCCTCCCTGGCCCTGTTTCCTGCCAGCCTCCTTATGGGCCTGCGGCTGGCCCAGAGTCCGGCTTTCCTTGGGACTGGTGCCAGCTGCAGTTCATTCTCTGCGGCCGGGGCCCCAGGGTCTCAGAGCTTACGTGCGGGGCGTCCAGGAAGAGCTGTGTGTGAGCTGCTGGTCAAGTCCTCCTGCTGTTCCTTTTCCCAGGACCCCTTGGGCCCAGCTCAAACACCACCACTGCACAAGGGCCTCCCACGCCCTCCTTCCCCTGCCGGTGCCCGGAGCGTGGGCTTGTCACTCTCGTACAGCATATCTCAGGCAGGCCTTGCACTGAACTGCCCAGCCTTATTCCTTTCCTGCATTGACAGTCCCTTGATAACAGAGTGTGCCTGCCTCAGCTCTGACTCCCCTCTGCCTGTGCAGGCCTGGCCACTGGTGGATGCTTGCAAATGCGTGTTGAACGAGGTCTTGGATGGACTTGAGTCCACCTGAGAGGGGTCTGCCCTGATGGCCTGCACTGCTCTCTCCAGTCTGTCTGGAATCTCCCAGGTGCCAGGAGCGCTCCACGGACAGGCTGGGTCCCGGCGACTGGCGATGTGGTCCCTGGGCAGGGGCCTCCTGAGTGTTGACGGCCTCCCTCTGTGCTCGCTCCACTTTTGGTCCCTTGAGCCCCTGAAAGGCGGGCATTGTTCAGGTTAGGCCTCCACAGACCCCTTGAGACAATGAATCAGCTCCAGGAGTAGAGGACTGGGGTCCACCAGGCAGGCAGCAGAGGGCGCTGGTGTCAGTGCCACCCCAGGCCTCCATGCCGCTGTCTCCCTCAGCCGCCCTGCAGCCCGTGCCCAGCGTCTTGCCCAGCAGCGGGAAGCCATCACAGCTCCGGAGTGGACCTGCGGACCCAGGCAGCCTCAAACTGGACACCCCCTCACAGGGCTGGCAGGCCAGGAACGGTCACCCCCAGAGCCTCGGGGGCCTGCCTTTGGGGCCTCATCCCCTGGCGCCTCTGCCCTCGCTGGATTCAGAGGCCAGCAGTGTGGCCCGGGACACCACCCAGATCAAGGACAAGCTCAAGAAGAGGCGCCTGTCGGAGGGCCTGGCAGCGTCTTCCCAAGGTGAGCCCTGGCCCCTGCCCACCCGCCCCAGGTCGGGGATCCCAGGTGACAGCAGGTGACCTGAGGGCGTGCTAGGACCTCCGGGGTCGGTCAGTGGGCACCTTCTCTGTGGCGGGCTGGCCTTCTGGGTCACCGCAGCAGCTCCCAGTCAGCTCCCCTCCTCACCACCCTGGTCCCCTCTCTGCTCCCTGGGGACTCTTCTGAAACAAACCCTCCTCTGCCACTCCCTCTGAGTGTGCTGCAAACCACCCACGGCTTCGGAGGACCAGGCCCCCAGCCTCACGCGCGTCTGTGCCACTTTCTCCCTGTGGCCTCTTACTCTGTGGACATGCGGACCGTCCAGTCTTTGGAGCACGTGGGCTCTTTCCAGCCTGGGGTTTAGAACCTGCTGCTCCCCACCCCCTCCATTCCCCACCCCACTGACCCCCACCTATCCTCCTTCCAAGAGGCTCAAAAGCCTCCCTGAGTGGGTCCCCCGGCCCCTCCCCCCAAGTCTGAATTTGTCCCACCTGATGTCCTCTCGCTCTCCTTCAGTTCTCGGCACGGTTGGCATTTGTGTGTGTGTGCACTTGAGTTGAAACCTGAATCGTGCACTTGACCTTAACCTCCAGGAGGGCAGGGCCAGGGTGAGGCACAGCTGCGTGGCACCCAGCAGGCTCCCACGACCTGGTTGTTGCATAGATGAGCAAAGAATTGAGCAGCAGCTGCTGTACACCGTGCACTTCTCTCTCGTCTTCAGCCGGGGGACAAACCAGTCAGCGCCATGCTCAGTCTTAGCCCTGATACTCACGGGCTCCGGGGCTCTGAGCCAGACAGTAAGCCTGCAAGCCTCAGTTTCCTCCTCTGTGAAATGGGGATACAGAAGTCTCCCCTTATCCTTGAAGGGTGTGTTTCAAGACCCCCAGTGCGTGGCTGAGCCCCCACCCCCACCCGAGCCCTGTGTACAAGGTGTCCCAATCAGAGCACCTGGGGTCGATTCCTGGCTGCCCCTCCTGACTCCAGCCTCCTGCTCATGCAGACCCTCAGAAGCGGTAGTGACGGCTCGAGTGCTTGAGTTCCTGCCACCCATGTGGGAGATCTGGGTTGAGTTCGGGGCCCTCCTGGTTCTGGACTAGCTCGGCTCAGTCCTGGCTGTTGCGGACACTTGGGATTTCTTGTTCTCTATCCAAAAAAAGAGCTTTGTTTGGGGCAGAGACTTTGAAATCCATGCACAATTTTTCCTAATATGCATTTTCCGTGAACTTTTCAAGGACACGTCCAAGGCTTTTTTCTGGACATTCTGTTTCTTTTCCCAAAGTTCCAAAGTTTACAAAGAACTGGGGTGGGCCAGCCCCACGTGCGGGTGGGAAGGGGCTATGGCTTCCCCAGGACTGGCAGGTCCCTCGGTGTGTGTGGAGGGCAGGTGTCTTGGCCCTTAGTACAGGTGCTGCTGCCGTCACCACCCTCCTGGAGGAAGCTGACCTGGGAGGCAGTGGTGATGGCTCACATAATTGGATTCCTGCCACCCTCCTGGGAGACCTGGGTTAAGTTCCCTGCTCCTGGCTTGAATCCCTGACCTGGGCCCATTGCAGGCATTTGGGGGTTGGGAACTGTCTCTTTTTCTTTTTTTTTTTTTTAAGATTTATTTATTTTACTTGAAAGTCACAGTTACATGCACACAGAGAGAGAGAGAGAGAGGGAGAGAGAGAGAGGGAGGGAGAGAGAGAGAGGTGTCTTCCATCTGCTGGTTCACTTCCCAGTTGGCTGCAATGGCCAGAGCTGCACCCATCCAAAGCCAGGAGCCAGGAGCTTCTTCCGGGTCTCTCACATGGGTGCAGGGGCCTATGCACTTGGGCCATCTTCTACTGCTTTCCCAGGCCACAGCAGAGAGCTGGATTGGAAGTGGAACAGCCGGGTCTCAAACCGGCACCCATATGGGATGCTGGTGCTGCAGGCAGTGGCTTTATCTGCTATGCCACAGCACCAGCCCCTGTCTCTGCTTTTAAAAAAAAAAGCAACAGTATCATTTTCCCCCCATCAGCACCGATATTTGCAAATATAATCCCCTGGGCCTCCCGCCCTCTGACGGCCTGGGTGAGGCTGCCCTGTGAGATGGGCTGGGGCTGGGTCAGGGAGAACTGCAAGTGTGGTGGCCTGTGTTTGAGAAGATGCCAAAGGTGTCCCCTGTGTCAAGGTAGCAGCACCCCAGTCACCAGCTGAAGAGGAAGAGGGGGATCTGCTGGCCCCTGTCGTGTGCTGGGCACTTGTGTGCATTCTGTGCAAGTTCTGCCATTGACTCTGTGCAGATCCATTCTGCAGAAGAGTGCATGGGAGCAGAGAGAGAGAGAGAGCGTGGCGGGCCAGGGTCACACAGGTCCTGGCCAGGGCCTGCACCTGTCACCTCACTCCCAATCTAGCGCTGACTTTGGATTTCTCTTCCCACTCACATTGCTTCTGAGCTTTCTCTTGATTGCTTTTTTCAAAAAGGTTTTATTTATTTATTTTCACTGTATTTGAAAGGGAGAGAGAGAGAGTGAGAGAGTGAGAGAGATAGAGAGGGAGATCTTCCATCTACTGGTTCACTCCTCAAATGCACACAGGGCTGGGCTCACGGGGCACACTCCAGGTTTTCCACAAGGGTGGCAGGGACCCAGCCACTGGAGCCGTCCTCTGCTGCTTCCCAGGGCCTGCAGCAGCAGGAAGCTGGAGTCAGAATGGAGCCAGGAGCTGAACAGGCACTCACCGCAGGCTGTGGGCAACCAGGCCAGCATCCTCACTGTTGCGCCCTGGCCTCTGAATTTTCAGTGGTGACTGATTGGTTCCTGCTCCTAGATTTCCCAGCAATGGGAAAGGATGCTTGGTACTTCTGGGGTGGGGGTGCAGGTGGGAGGGAGGCCTCTCTCTCGTCTGCCCGCCCCAGCACCCGTGCCCTGCTGCCATCATTGGACTCCCTCCTTTCTCTACCTCCTAGGACTAACTCATTCCCCACCCCCACCCCCACCCCCGAGCAGCCTCCCTGGACCCTGGGGGCGTTCCCCTGAGGAGCACCATCCCGCGTGCCACCGGTCAGAGGCTGCTGAGGGTGCCCAGGCCGATGCCTCCCATCCAGAGCATTCCCACCACGCCTGAGGCCAAGGAGAGGGAGCTGGACCCGCCGCGGAGCTGCCAGGGTGCCCCGGAGGTAAGGTGGTTCCCCTGCTCTCAGCCTGCCCTGCGGCTTTTCACCCCACAAGGTCCAGGACCTCTGAGCTGGGCTGGGAGGCTGCCCGGCGGGGAGGGGCTGCACAACCAGCCTGTCTCAGGCTCGGTGGTCCCTAGGCCTCCTCTGGTATAAATGCCCCAGAATTCCACCTGCTTTGGGCCTTCTGCACTGTAAGCCAGTGAGGGTGGCAGAGAGGAAAGTGTGCTGGGTTGAGACCAAGACAGGGGCCCTGGTTTCTGCTCGGGCCCTCCCTGGCTGTGTGGCCCCGAGCAGTTACTTCCCTCTCTGGGCCCTAGTTTACGCCTCTATAAGACTAGAGGTTTGGACCACGTGGTTGAAGGTCCTAGGATTTTTCTGGAATAAGAGGAATGGAAAAACAATTGCTAACAACAAAAGGGCCAACCAGTCTTCTCCTCTGGAGTGGCGAGGAAGTGAGGTGTTTTCAGGTGTCTCGGGGCTATAGGCCTGGAAAGAGAAGCCGGGGGACCCCTGCCAGCACCCTGCCCCCGGGGGGCTCCTGGGAGAAGGTGCCACCCTGGAGAGGTGCCTGGGAGGTGAGCATGCAGCCCACAGCTCTCGCCTCTCCCCGCCCCCAGGTGCAGATGTCCCCGCAGTACCTGCATTGCAAGGATGAGAAAATGCGGACGTCGACGGCAGGCGCTGTGATGCCACCCATCCCGAAGGCTGGGCTGCCTGCCAGGGCCTCCTCCTCCACGCTGGGCTCCCTTCCTGGCCCCTTGTCCCCAGGCCAGGCTGTCCTCGTGGGGCTGGGGGCCCCACGCACCCGGTAAGAGCCCCCCATCCAGCTGCCCTTGCTGTCGTCTCTCCCTCTGTCCAACAAGACCCGCTTTTGCTCATCGTGGCTCAACTCCATGCTAGGGCCAGACTGTGGGGCGCCGGGCGTGGGAAGGGCAGGAACCTGGGAGCCCACAGCCTTGGGGTAGGGAGTGCTTCTTTGACGCTTGGCTCCCGCGTGCTGGGTGTCCTGGCAGCAGCCAACAGTGTCTCAAGCCTCTGTCTTCTCCCGGGTTCCGGATGACGCATGTGATGGCTGGAGTAATGGGGAAAGCACACATGCATAGCATGGCCGCTGTCTGTTATTACTAACCCCTGTTTCCGTCTGTGCGGGCAAGGGGTTGGCTGTACCAGGTCTGAACTTATAAAGCGGTCCTTGTCACCAGGGAGGCCTGGGGAGTGATGGGGTAGCAGCCCTGGCTGCGGGGCTGTAAGTGGGGCAGGCATCACACTGCTGTCAGGCTGCGCTGACGCTGGGGCAGGTGTGTGAGTGGGTGCATGAGAGAGGTGTGCACAGGTGCTCGCAGCCTCTGACCCTGCTCGGTCAGTGTGGTCACGGTCAGGGTCCTACAGCCACTTTACGGTCCTGTGTTGTTGTTGTTGTTTTAATTTATTTGCAAGGCAGAGTTACACAGAGGGAGACACACACACACGCACACACACACACACACACACACACCCCACACACAGATCTCCCATTGGCTGGTTCACTCCCCAGATAGCTGCAATGACCAGGGCTGGGCCAAGTTGAAGGCGGGAGCCAGGAGCTCCATCTGGGTCTCCTACATGGGTGCCGGGGCCCAGAGAGCTGGACTGGAAGTGGAGCGGCCGGGACTCCAGCCTGCGAGCATAAGGGATGCAGGCACACGGCGCAGCCGTCCTACTTCTTGGGGGACTGCCTTGCCGAGTCGTCCCACTTCTCCCCATCCTCCTCCCTCTCTGACTCCCCTGCTGCTTTCGCTCTGTCCAGGTGCATGCCTGTGTTCTCCAGCGTAGCTGGGTGTGTGCACCTGCTCCTGGGTGAACGATCTCTCCACCGCCCTCGCCTCCCTACCCCTCCCTCACCTCCACACAGGTCGTGGCAGGGCGCCTCTCCTGCATCTCCCGTCTGGACCCTTGCCTTGCCTAGACGCCTCCTTCCCTCCTGGCTTTGCACCTGCTCCTCCCCTTGCAGGCCCTCAGTGGTCGGCCTTTCCATGGCTGCCCATCCTGGGACGTGTTCCCATCCCTGGACTGACCCCCGGGGCGGGCAGCTGAAGGAGGAGTCGCCTTAGTCTGACCTTCAGCTCAGCCCAGGCTACCCCTCTGCACTCTCCCTCCTGGCTTCTCTGCAGGAGCCTGCACCTCCAGACCCCTAGGATGCGTCCTGGCCTGAGCATGGCCCCTGCCCATCCTTGCATCCCCAGTGTGAGCCTTGCACCCCTTGACCTGGCCATTCTGTCTTGACTGTTGCACAGCCACACTGGCACAAGGGTGGCAGCAGGGGACGGGGCTGGGTCTGCACAGTCCCCACCACGTCCAGCCTCTGGACCACCTGCTCAGACCCCTCCATTATTTTATTTAAATTTGAATCAATGAGCTTTAGTTATTTGCATGCACTCTCTTGTTTTTGCATTTTTAAAAGATTTGCTTATTTATTTGAAAGTCAGAGTTACAGAGAGGCTGAGGCAAAGAGAAACAGAGAGAAAGGTCTTCCATCCACTGGTTCACTCTCCAGATGACCGCAACAGCCAGAGCTGTGCCGATCTGAAGCCAGGAGCCAGGAGCTTCTTCCAGGTCTCCCACATGGGTGCAGGGGCTCAAGGACCTGGGCCATCTTCCACTGCAATCCCAGGCCATAGCAGAGAGCTGGATCAGAAGTGGAACAGCTGGGACTTGAACCGGCACTCATATGGGATGCCGGCACTGCAGGTGGTGGCTTTACCCTCTATGCCACAATGCCGGCCCCTACATTTTTTTTTTTTTTTGTTATTCTGCCATGTTTAAACCTCATTCCCTTCCTTTACCTAGAGTGTAATAGGACAGGGGCCGTACCCAAGAATCTGTGTGCTCCTGCAGTGCCCAGCCTGGTGCTGGCATGGCCTGGTTCCACTGCAAACATCTGCCCATTTGCTGTCTGACCACGGCACGGGTTTCTCCCAGCAAACAGCTGAGAAGGATGCTCTGTTACCATTTCGTTCATTCATTTATCCCCCCATCTATTCACTTAAAAGCTACTAAGCACCCACTATGTGCCAGGTGCTATGGAAACAAAGCCAAAATACCCCATCTGTGCTCTTGGAGCGCACAGAGATTTACAAGTAGCAGACTGAGCCCAGTCCAGTGGGGAGCGTGGGATGGGAGGCTCTTGCCCGTCCTGGAGGGAAGCCTGGTGGGAAATGGCCTGCGTCATGCTGGGAAGGCTTCTCGGAGGAGTTTGTAAAAAATATTTTTTATTTATTTGAGAGGCAGAGAGAGAGAGAGAGGAAAGAGGAGAGAGGAGAGAGGAGAGAGGTGAGGAGAGGAGAGAGGAGAGAGAGAGAGAGAGAGCTCCCATCCTGTGGTTCTCCCTGGCTCACGTCAGCCTGATCTGGGCCAGCCTGGATATGGGAATGGGGGACTCAATTCCAGGTCTCCCACGTAGGTGCAGGGACCTGACTACTTGAGCCATCTCGAGTCTCCCAGGGTCTGCACTGGCAAGAATCCGGATTGGGGAGTGAAGCTGGAACTCCAACCCAGGCACTCCAGTGTGGGGCGTGGGCACCCCAAGTGCCATCTTACTGCTAGGCCAGATGCCCGCCCCTTCTCAGAGGAGTTCTGAAGGCTGAAGGAGAGTCTGTGAGACTCAGAAGAGGGAGAGACAGAGAGAGAAGAGGCTGAGGCCCTCCAGGAACTGATGTGGGTGCCCGTGCACCTGTATCTGCAGGGGGTGCCCGTGTGCCTGTATCTGCAGGGGGGTGTCCATGTGCCTGTATCTGTAGGGGGTGCCTATGTGCCTGTATCTGCAGGGGGGTGTCCGTGTGCCTGTATCTGCAGGGGGGTGTCCGTGCACCTGTATCTGCAGGGGGGTGTCCATGTGCCTGTATCTACAGGGGGTGTCCATGTGCCTGTATCTGCAGGGGAGTGCCCGTGCGCCTGTATCTGCAGGGGGGTGTCCATGTGCCTGTATCTACAGGGGGTGTCCATGTGCCTGTATCTACAGGGGGTGCCCATGTGCCTGTATCTGTAGGGTGTGCCCATGTATCTGTATCTGCAGGGGGGTGTCCATGTGCCTGTATCTGCAGGGGGTGCCTGTGCACCTGTATCTGTAGGGGGTGCCTATGCGCCTGTATCTGCAGGGGGGTGTCCGTGTGCCTGTATCTATAGGGTGTGCCCGTGTGCCTGTATCTGCCAGGGGGTGCCTGTGAGCCTGTATCTATGTGTGAGGCACTGTGAGGCAAGCAGGGCCGAGGGCCTCGTGTACTCAGCTGACCATGAGCTTTGTCCCAAGGGAATGTACCACCACGGGCTTTTTGGCGTGGCAGTAGCATCAGATCAGATCTAGACAGGCCACTTTGGGGACTATGGAGTGGCTTGGGCCAGGATCGTTGAGGTGGAGGTGGTTGCAGGAACCCAGGAGAGAAACCCTGGGTCCGATTAAGACAGAGGCAGGGGGTCGCAGGGGTGAGGAGGGGTGGGTGGGGCCTGGCCCAGCTGAGTGGGGGTGCTGGGCACCATGCTGGGGCTCCTGCATCAGCAGCTACACAGGTTCTGGGACCTCCATGGAGACAGGGAGAGGGGTGGGGGCTGCGGGGAGGCCACTGCTGGGCGGGTGCAGCTCGTGGGGCCCTGGGCATGGACATGACAGCTGGTTGGCTGGCGCAGGAGGGGCTCTGGCTGGAAACTGGCTCGGCTGCTGCACCCTGGCTCCCTGGGCTGGGGAAGAGGCGTAGAGCTTCTGTGCAGTTCTCCCGGGGGGCGGGGGGGAGGGGCTGGACCTCGGCGTGGAGAACTCAGAGGCTCTGATGGCCAGGGTCGCTCTGAGTTGTCTCCAGGGAAGGGGCAGTGAGGGGCTTCCTCAAAGCGGGAGGAAGGGGCCGCACCTAGGAGGAGGGGCTCACTGTCGGCTGTCTGAGCCCTGCTCCATGAGGCCACAGGGGCCAGGGTACGCACAGGGGCTCCCCAGCTCCAGCTCCTTGGTCCCCCTCCCCAGCCAGTCCTGTTAGCACGGTGGGCAGGGGCAAGTTTCCGTGGCCCAGACCTAGGTCAGGGGAGCCATACCCAAGAGGCTGTGCCTTTTCCAAGGGTGGCCCCGAGTCCTGGCTGCCCAGGCCCCGTCTGAAGCTCAGTGCCTCAGTGTACCTGGGGTTCCCTGACCTCCACAGCCCCCTAGGATCAGGGTCTTGCTGGCTATTCTGCGAGTGTCCAGGCCAGACCGCAGGAGGTTGTGTTCGGGGCCCTTGGCTGTGGCCTTGCTACTCCGTCCCCGTGTGGGTCCCCGGCCCGCAGAGCTGGTCTTCCTGGAGACCTAAGCTCCTCAGAGTCTCGCCCACACGGGGCCTCGTACTGCGCTGTGGAATGAGTCAGTGGCGCTTGTCACCTCAACAATCATAGTTCCAGCCAGTGCCAGGAAGGTCCCCCTCCCTTCCTGCACTGGGACTGAGTTCCAGAACGAAGCAGTGATTTCCCATCACAGCAGGGGGCGGGGCAGGGTGGGGCTGTCATCAGGAGGAGGAGGAGGACTGTGTCGGGGTCCCGGAGCCCCTGCAGGGTAAGGCGGCTTGCTGAACCTGAACCCGGTGTTGCAACCTGGGGGGCAATTTTCCCACCTCTGCTGCAGCTGGGCGCTCTGTGCAGGCCTGAGAAGTCCCAGTGGGGGTGGCTGGGTGGGGCTTTCTCTAGGAAAGGCAGCCTGGGGAGTAGGCGGGCCCCAGAGGCAGACAATGGAGCTCCGTACGGTTTGCAGAAGGAGCTGTGTGTCCTGTAGCACTGAGCCCTGGCTGTGATCCAGGGACAGCAGCCACCTGTGTCCCCATGGTGGTGCCTCCCTGCGGGGGAGCCGCCTGGGCTCCCCCCCCCCCCCCCCCCCCCCCCGCCAGCTTTTGCTGTTTCTCATAGAACTTTCTTCTCCTCTGCGCTTTTCAGATTGGTTCTGGAGGATGGGCCCCAGGAGAAGACCCCCAAGTCTCTGGGTATGTATCCTCCATCCTGCCCTGTGTCGTGGAGTAGGAGACCCCAGGAGAGCTGAGCGCTGGTGTCCAAGACCCCCTGTTTCACCAGCCCTCCTGCGCTGGGGGCGGCAGCAGGCTGGGGGCGGGGCGGGAGCGGAGAGAAGCAGCCATCAGGATGCCTAGATGAGAGATGGTGCCGTCTCCTCCCATGGATGCGGTTTAAATGGCGGGAAACAGGGCCAACCAGGGTAGGAAGCAAGGCTGGTGGGCGGGGCAAGAGGCTTTTAAGAAGGGCCGAGCCACCCCTTCTGGGTGTGATGATCTAACTCCGTGGAGAGGGGGCTGGGTGGGGGGAGTGGAAGCTGAGCCTTGCACCTGGCCAGGGCTGCACCTGTTCCCAGACTGGGGGAGCCCAGGACCCTGAGCCCCGGCTGCTGTACTGCAGGAGGGGCGGACGCGCAGGGCCGACTTCCGGGCAATCATCCCAGCAGTGGACCAGTTGGCCACGGGGGAGGCTGCAGCCCATGGGCCCCGGGATCAGGGCAGGAAGCTGGGCGCAGGCAGGCCTGGCACGGAGGCTGTGGCAGCTGCTTGTGTGCTGCTCCCGGGGTGACACACGCTGGCACCTGACATGTCCTTGAAGAGCTAAACCTAAGAGCCTGAGTTTGGGCAGGTGGACACCATCACCAGGTGCTGGGGACGGGGCAGGCTGTACACAGGAAGGGCTCTCGTGGGAGGGTCTGCAGCTGGGGCACCCCCAGTCTGTAGCAGTCCTCAAGTCCTGGCCCTGGCCGATTGGCCCCCGGTGGTCTGTGCCCTCTGCCCTGCTTCTGGGGGGTTCCAAGCCTCCTTCCCTGCTCTGCAGGACCCCAGCCTCCTGCAGCCCCCGAGCATGGCCCCCATCCCAGGGGACTCTGGTGTGCAATTTCACCCTAGGAAGGTGAGCTCCAAACTTAGCGAGCGGAGAAAATGAAGGAGTTTAAGGACAGCACCTTTCAGCCGCCGGGATTGGGAGCTGCACCAACAGGGGGCGGTAGCGTGGCTGCTCTGGCAGGGAGTTGGCATTTTCTGCATCACAAAAGCTGCCCCCTGTGACACGAGCGAGCGACTTGGACAAGTACTGGTGCCTTCTCTGGCTCCCTTCAGCTCTGCTCTTTCTCCCAGGCCCAGCCTGGTATAAAACGCCCCGTGGGCCCCCGACTGCTCTGCGTAGCTTGCAGTCCGCGTTAGGGTCCCAGGAAGCAGCCAGACGCTCCCAGGTGACCGCTCTGCCGGCGTCCCGTCCAGGCGCCCCCCCCCCCCCCCCCCCCCCCCCCCGTCTGGCAGGAGGAGGGCGTCGGGCCTCACACAGCCCGGTTCCCGCCTGCCCTGCTGTCCTGTGGAGCCCGTGGAGCCCCGTCTTTCCCCACCAGGGAAGCGCTGGGCAGAAGTGAGGGCTGAGGCCTTAGGCGGTTAAGCTGCAGCAGGCACAGGGTGCAGGGCCAGCCCCGGGGGCGCTGGGGGTCCTCAGCTCCCTTCCTGCTCTTGTCTCCTCAGTACCCAAAGCTTTGGCCCCACCCATCAGAGACGGGTCAGCCACCGCCTCTCAGAAGCCGGCCTTGACTTCATCGCAGTCTGCTCCCGCGCTGACAGGCTTCTCCTTCAGCTATGCCAAAGAAGCCCACCCCCTGCGGAAACAGGAGGACCCCAAGGAGACCAGCACTAAGGTACCTGGGAGGCCAGGGGAAGAGGAAGGCGGGGTCTGAGTGGACCCCTGCTGAACACCAGCAAGTTTTTAAAATACGCAGGTGTGGCGCCCCCTAGTGGACAAAGGGAGTTGAGCAAGGAGAGCCAAGGCAGCCTCCTCAAGTACTTACGGCCCAGACCCTGCGGAGGGATTTGGGGTGGGGTTTGAGGAAGGGAAGAGAAGCCTGGATGGGGGTGGGGTGGGGCTGGGTGAAGGGAGGAGCCCGAGGGTTGCTGAGGGGCGGGGAGGGGGAGGAGGAAGGCTGGAGGCGGTGACACTGGGGTCAGAAGGAAGCAGGTGTGGGGACGGCTAGGGGGTTAGGTGACCTTGAGTTGACACCGGTGGCAGCCGGAGCCTGGGAGGCTGACAGATCCCTGGAGCTTCTAAGGTGACCTCGGGGGTGGCTTCCTCCCTGGGTTGGGGTGAATCCAGTGGAGCCTGGACAGTGTCTTCTGTGGGGCGCCTTGCCCGGTCTTGGGGGCAGAGATGCCCAGAGGCCTGCCCCGCGCGTGCACTGTGTTGGAGACAGGCTCAGTGAGGGCATCAGATCCTGGCATAACAATAAAGCTCCTTGCAGCTCCCCCCCAGCCCCCTCCCCAATGTGGGCAGATTCCGGACCTCCTGCCACCCCCTCCACACCCCCTGCAGCTCAGCCTCCAACTTCCCGTTTGTTATTAGCTGTCTTTCATCTTAAGGAAATTCTTTTTTTTTTTTAAAAGATTTGTTTTTTATTTATCTATTTGAGAGATAGAGTTACAGTGAGAGCAGAGACAGAGAGAGGTCTTCCATCCACTGGTCCACTCCCAAAATGGCTGCAAAGGCTGGAGTTGGGTTGGTCTGAAGCCAGGAGCCAGGATCTTCTTCCTGGCCTCCCACACAGGTGCAGGGGCCCAAGCACTTGGGCCATCTTCTACTGCTTTCCCAGGCCATAGCAGAGAGCTAGATTGAAAGAGGAGCAGCTGGGACTTAAACTGGTGCCCATATGGGATGCCGGCACTGAAGGCGGATGCTTAACCTACTACACCGCAGCGCCGGCCCCGGAAACCAAACTCGTGCCACGTCCCCCTTCACATCCTCTCCGGAGTCCACTCCAGCAGGGCCCAATCCCCACTGAAACTGCGCCCGCCGAGGTCACCATGACCTTCACATTCCCGAATCTCAGTCCTCAGTCCTCGAAGAGGGAGAATAGGTGGGTCCCTAAGGCTAACGGCCTTGACCTTGTGCCAGATCCACGTCACCATCTCCAAGTCTGCCCAGGAGAAGATGCGGCTGAAGCAGATGAAGGAGGCGGAGGCGTTGCGGAGGGCCAAGGAGCCGGAGCCGGAACGGGCGCTGGCGTCCCAGAGCCTGGGTTCCCGGGGCACCGCAGTGAAGGAAGGTACTGGGGCTGGGGCGGGGTCCCTCGGCTGTGGACACTGCCTGGCCAACTTCTTTTTAAAATTAATTATTAGCATTATTTAAGGATTTGCTTTATTTCTTTGAAAGGCAGAGAGAGAGAGAGAGACGGTGGCGGGGGTGGGGGGGGATCGTCCATCTGCTGGTTCATTTCCACAAAAGAGCTGGTCCGGGCTGAAGCCAGGAGCCAGGAACGCCATCCATTTCTTCTATGTGGGTGCAGGGGCCCAAGCACTTAGACCATCTTCTGCTGTTTTCCCTGACCATTGGCAGGGAGCTCCGTCAGAAATGGAGCAACCGGGAGTTGAACTGGCCCAATACGGGATGCTGGTGTTGTAGGCAGTGGCTTAGCCAGGTGTGTCATGTGTTGTAACCTATTGTTTTTAAATTTTATTTTATCGTCCATCCTCTGGACTTACTCCTCAAATGCCTGCCCCCAACAGCCAAGATTGGGCCAGGCCAAAGCCAGAAACTTGGAACTCCATCTGAGTCTCCCACGTGTGTGGCAGGGACCCAAGTATTTGAACCATCACCACTGCCTCCCAGTGTGTGTATTTGCAGGAAGCTGGACACAGGGAGTGGAGCAGCTGGGACTTGAACCAGGCACTCCACCATGGGATGGGGCTGTGCCAAGGCGAGGTTTAACCATTGCACAAAATGCCTACCCCTGCTTGGCCAACCTCGGAGGTTGAGGGCTCTGTCCTTCAAGACAAGGCCGCCTACAGCTCCTCACCTTCCCATCCTGAGACTGGACAGGGAGCTGCGTTTGCTCTCCCGGAGCCTGCTGATGGGGCTGTGTCTCCAAGGGGCCTCCGGGGCTGGGGCGGGCCGAAGTAGCTCAGGACTCTCTCTGCCTCCACAGGCCTCCTTCCACTCCGGGGCAGCCGGACGCAGTCCGTGCCTGCTGGGATGAGCAGTGCATACAGAAACATGGGCATCGCCCTGAGGAAGCGGGCCAACCGGTCCTCACTGCCCAGCATCCTGGTCAGCAAGCAGGAGCCCAGCTTCGCCCGCCACGCTTCAGGTGGGACCCAGACCGGCTGGCTGGACGCGATCCCTCTGCCTGGGCTGCCCTGGGCTGCTCTGCTTCTGCCTGTAGCCTGTGTTGGAGTAGGCAACAACCCGAGCTGGTGGTCACCTTGCCAGAAAGAGGACTGAGGCTCAGGCTCATCTGGGGACCAGGCTGGGGACCCAGGACATCACGCCTGGAATCGTGGGTGGCTGGCAGGCGTGGCCGGCTGGTGCGGCATGTCCTAGAGTCGTCCGCAGAAAATAGCATGCATAGGGAATCTCTCTCGGGTAAATAGATGATTTTTTAAGTAATTCTTTGTTGACCGTCAGGAGAAGAAGAGGAAGACAGGCAGATTCAAATCCAGCTTCCGGGGAGGTGGTGAGAGTTTGCGAATGCTGGATTTTTTCTTATCTCCTACAACCTAACCTGTCTGAGACCTGACTTCTATGCACTCACTCACCCACCCACCAAACATGCTCGGTTTTAACTACGAGACACAGATGACAGACAACACCCGCTCGAGAGCCATCAGCCAAAGCCTTAGTCGCCATGGCCACCTCCACCTTGGGTGACCTTGGGTGACATTGAGAAGAAGAAGGGAGGGGTCTGGGCAGACCTTTATTTCCCACCTGTTGCTTTGTAGTGTGTGGGGCTGGGTGGGGCTGCTCATAGCCTGGCATTGGAGGGTCCTACAGTTCCATGGGGGCACCTCAGGGGAAGTGCCAAGGGACAAAGTGGGGACCCTGTTCCCTGTCCACCAGAGGAACTTCTATTTTGTCTTACCTTTTTATACCCTGGGCATACATGCAAGATTTCATGTGAAAAGATTTTGCTACTGTAAAACTTTTTTTTTTTTTTTAAGATTTATTTATTTTACTTGAAAGTCAGAGTTACAGAGAGACAGAAGAGGAAGAAAGAGAGAGAGAGAGAGAGAGGTCTTCCATCTGCTGGTTCACTCTCCAATTGGCCGCAACGGCTGGAGCTGCGCCGATCCGAAGCCAGGAGCCAGGAGCTTCCTCCTGGTCTCCCATGTAGGTGCAGGGGCCCAAGGACTTAGGCCATCTTCCAGTGCTTTCCCAGGCCACAGCAGAGAGCTGGACAGGAAGTGGAGCAGCCAGGTCTCTGGCGATGGGATGCCGGTGCTTCAGGCCAGGGCGTTAACCCACAGTGCCACAGCGCCGGTCCCTGGAAAACTTTGGAAAACCGTCCACCTAGTTGAGAGCGGGATGTGGTGGACATCGGTGGCCGAGCAGAGCATGATTTTTGGCACCGTCCCTAATATCCACTCACTTCCTTTTCCAGCCCTTCTGTCCTTTAGACAGCGCTAGGCAGAAAGTCTTTCCTGTGTGCTGATATCTTCTAACAACGCCCCGGGGAGCTGGCTGTCATTCATTGCTAGAGTGTTTCATTGTGAGTGTAAATTTCTCCCATACTCAGTGACAGATAATATTAGTCTACCAGTTACGGCAGTGACATCCAGTTCCCTTGAAAATAAGTTTATTTAGGATTTGAAAGGTAGAGAGCTGGCAGAAGGCAGTTGTGAGAGTGGGAGCTGAACGACTGATCCTGGGAAATACTGCTCTATCTCCACCCACTGATTCTGCAGGCCGCAGAGCTGAGACCCAGAGACACAGGCTCACCCAGGGTCACCCAGGGTCACCCAGGGTGGAGGTGGCCGTGGCAACTAAGGCTTTGGCTGATGGCTCTTGAGCGGGTGTTGTCTGTTACCCGTGTCTCATAGTTAAAACCAAGTGTGTTTGGTGGGTGGGTGAGTGCAGAGAAGTCGGGTCTCAGCCGGCACCGTGGCTCACTAGGCTAATCCTCCACCTTGCGGTGCCGGCACACCGGATTCTAGTCCCGGTTGGGGTGCCGGATTCTGTCCCGGCTGCCCCTCTTCCAGGCCAGCTCTCTGCTGTGGCCCAGGAAGGCAGTGGAGGATGGTCCTGCTTGGGCCCTGGGAGACCAGGAGGAAGCACCTGGCTCCTGGCTTCGAATCAGCGCGGTGCTCCGTCTGCAGCAGCCACTGGGGGGTGAACCAACGGAAAGGAAGACCTGTCTCTCTGTCTCTCTCATCACGTACATTTGCGTGTGAAGCAAGACCTAGAGTTAAATGAATAAAAATAAGGGTCAGGTCTCAGACAGGTTAGGTTGTAGGAGATAAGAAAAAAATCCAGCATTCTCAAACTCTTACCCCCTCCCCGGAAGCTGGATTTGAATCTGCCTATCTTCCTCTTCTTCTCCTGACGGTCAACAAAGAATTACTTAAAAAATCATCTATCTGTTTACTAGAGAGAGATTCCCTATCCATGGCTTTACTTCCCAAACGCCTGGGATGGCCAGGGTCAGAGGTCAGGGGTCTGGATCCAGGAGCTGGGAACTCAGCCCAGGTCTCCCACGTGGTGGCGGGAACCCGGTTACTGGAGGCATCACCACGGCCTCCCGGGGTCTGCACAGCAGGACCAGAGCCAGGAACTGGACCCCGGCGCTCTAAGGGGGGGGGGTGCTGCAGGTGTCTTTTTTTTTGGACAGGCAGAGTGGACAGTGATGAGAGAGAGAGAGACAGGTCTTCCTTTGCCATTGGTTCACCCTCCTAATGGCCGCCACAGCTGGTGTGCTGTAGCTGGCGCACCGCGCTGATCCGATGGCAGGAGCCAGTAACTTATCCTGGTCTCCCGTGGGGTGCAGGGCCCAAGGACTTGAGCCATCCTCCACTGCACTCCCTGGCCACAGCAGAGAGCTGGCCTGGAAGAGGGGCAGCCAGGACAGAATCCGGCACCCCGACCAGGACTAGAACCCGGTGTGCTGGCGCCGCAAGGTGGAGGATTAGCCTAGTGAGCCGCAGCACCGGCCCAAGGGTGCAGGTGTCTTAACCAGGCTAAGTGCAGGCTCCCTGGTCCGAGTTTTGAATAGCAGCTCTATTGTCCTGTGGAGCCCTTCCCTGTTCACGTGGAAGGATGGGGAGTAGGAGGAGGGGGAGAGGCTGGTAACACGGGTTCCGGGTGGGAGGGCGGTGAGTAGGGAGGGCTTTCGTGACTTGCTCTCTTGGCCTCACCCTTGCCACAGATAGGGCAGGACTGGAGGTGGACCCTGGCCAGTTCGCTCATAATAGTTGGGCCGGCAGTAGCGGGAGTGGAGAAAGTCCACAAAAGGCCCAGCATCGGGTGGTGCCTGTGCTGTCGGGCTCAGTGCTGCGGGCTGGTCTCAGCGTGGAGGGCTGGGAAGGCCTGGACGGGGCGGCCGCTGGGGCGCTCGCCTCTCTACCTGGGCGAAGCCTGCTGGTTCTCTCTGCTCTGTCACTGCAGCCAATTCCCTGCCCGCGGTGCTCACTCTGGGGTCTCCCGAGTGGGAGGAAGAGGAGGAGGACGTGGATGGTGGAGCCCTCAGGGAGCTGCGGCCTCTCTCCAATCCTGAGCTGGGTTTGACGGACGCGCTGCAGTGCCTCGGTAGCAGTGACTGGTGAGGACTGGACCCGGCTCCGTCCACGCGCACTCCTGCCCCCAGCCCCCGCCGGCTCCCTCCTCTCCCAGCCTGGGCTCTTGTACCATGGAGGGATGAGTGTGTGTGTGTGTGTGTGCACGTGCACATGTGTGGGATGTCTCCAGCTCCCATGTGAGCCCTGAGCCCTGTGCTGGCCGTGCCAGTGCCAGACATGACACGTGAGAATTCCACTCCAGGACCTGGGGCCTAAGCGAGCTCACAGCCCCTTATTTCTGTAAATCACAGGAATCTGCTCTGAGCTGGGGGCGGGGAGGGGCACATGACCTTAGCCAGGAACAAAGCAGCAAGTGTGTGGGAGCACCCTCCATCCCCCCGTTCACGCTCCTTCTCTCCAAGGCACAACTTTGTGTCAAGGCCCCAAGCACGTCCTGGGGTGGGCTCCATGGAGGGCCGTTTTCTGAGCCGTTATGGCTTCAGGACAGGGTTACCCCAGGAGGCCTTGCCTCCGAGGCCGGGACCCCCCACCCTGCTGTGGGCCGAGGGGGAGGCAGAGGCGGGGAGGGTGAGGAGCAGGTGCCCCGGCCTGCAGAGGGCGTGGGTCCCTCCCTGCCCACCGGCCTTGCTTCTCAGGCAGGTGAAAGAGAAGGGCCTGCTGAGCGTCCGGCGCCTGGCGGCCTGTCACCCCGACGTCCTGGCTGGGAGGCTGCACGACGTGTCCCTGGCGGTGACGGGGGAGGTGAGGCCTCTGCGCAGCCTGTGCACCGCGCCCCCGTCCGTCCCCGCCCTGCCGCTGCCCCTCCCAGCTGCCGTGCGTCACTTGGCAGCCATGGAGGGCCCAGTTGTTCCCTGGAACCCGGGCATCCTTGCTTATTTCTGGGTGAGAGGTAACCACCCATTTCCCAGACCCAACCACTGAGGGCTAGGTTTTCCTTATTTGTAATCTTCGGGGTCTGAGACAGAGTGTGCTGCTTCTCTGTCTGTACCACCTCTTACCCCCCGGGGAGGGGAGGGGGGTGGTGTGTCCTGGGCCAGGTGCATTTCCCAAGGCCTTTCACTCGCCAGGGCTGGCCGGGGCTGGGCCAGGAGAGGCAGCACGAGGCACCTGACTCATTCCATCAGTGCTCGGCTGGGGAGTGGCACGTGCTGACACCCGGCCGGGGCGGCTCCCCCATGGCTCTGGATGCCCGCTCTCCACTCCTCAGGACAGCTGGGAAGCTCCAGTGGGGCGTTTTTTGCAGAAGCTCTCGGCAGCCTATGCGTAGCCGCGTTTCCTGCGGTTATTGATATGGTGGGAGTCGCGACTGTGCTGATGGTGCAGGCAGCTGCTCTCCCCCGCGGCTGTGGGACTCACTTCTGGGCCTGGGCTGTGGGAGGCGTGGTGGGAGGAGGCGGCGCAGCTCCTGAGCCCCTGGCCAGGTGGGTCACGGAGAGCTCCCTCCTCTCTCCAAGGTCACCAACCTCCGCTCCAAGGTGTCCCGCCTGGCCATCAGCACCCTGGGGGACCTCTTCCGGGCCTTGAAGAAGAATATGGACCAGGAGGCTGAGGAGGTGGCCCGCTGCCTGCTGCAGAAGATGGGGCACACCAGCGAGTTCATCCAGAGAGCTGCCAACCGCTCCCTGGGGGCCATGGTGGAGAGCGTGACCCCGGCCCGTGCCCTGGGGGCCCTCACCTCTGCGGGCATCTAGTACGGGCTGCTGCAGCCCCCGGGGTGGGAGTGTGAGAGGAGGAGGGGCGAGCGGCTGCGCAGGGTCCCAGGGGTCGGAGTGCAGGAGGTGCGTCCCCCGCCCCCCCAGGCTTCCTCACCAGGACCCCCCGTTTTATGTGCCAGGGAGCGCAGGAAGTGGCTGTAGCAGCGGCCACCCAGGGACAGGGCTGTGGGGCTCCTCCCCTCCCAGGGGAGCCCCACTTCTTTCTGATGAAATCGGGGCTGGTGAGGCGAGCAAGGTGCAAAGATTTAACCCTTAGGCTGCGGCTTGCCTTTCTCCACCCGTCCACCCTGAGCAGGCAGCCACCGTCCCGAGGCCCGAGGCGGCTCAGCAGACCCCAGGGCCTGTCAGCAGAGCCTGGCTGATGGGTGGAAGGGGGAGAGCTCTAGAACTACACTACACCACCTGGGTTCACAGCCTAGACTGTTCCTTCACAGCCTTGCGCCTCAGTTTCCCCACCTGTATAATGGGCACACTGATGGGAGGAGTCGGTGAATGGATTGGTGAAAGAGCCCTTGGAACAGGTCTGCCCAGCATTCACTGGGTGCTCCTGTGGCTGTGACCCTCTTGGGAGCGGTTCACCCTCCTTTTCCTCTGGGTTCTTCCCTTGGCCTCTGCTTCCTCACCTGCAAAATTATGGCACCACAGTAGCTCATGGGGCTGATGTAAGATAGTGGGCTGGGGTCAGTGCCTGGCACGGGGGAGGACGAGGCAGCCGACCAGGGGCAGGGGCCTGCACTGGAGTCTGCAGGGGTCCTGGCTCAGATGCCACTCTGCTGGCCCCCAGGCGGCGCTGAGTACGGAGAGCTCTGATGCCCTTCTGTGCTCCACCTGGCTGGGGGCTGTGATGGAGAGGCCCTGTTGGAAGGAGGTGACCCTGATGGGTTTCTCTTATCAGAGCCCAGGGGGCACTGTGAAGGTGATCAGTCACCCGTCAGCCCCTCTCCCTTCCTTGTTTCAATTCAGCTCAGCAGAAACACAGCAAGTGCCTGCTGAGAGGGGGGCACGTGTGGGGCTCTAGGGGTGCAACAGGAGCTCCCAGGGAGCAGGCAGCCTGGTGCAGCTGGACTCCCCAGGGCCAAAGGCTGTGCTGTCCCAGGGGAACGTCTGATGCCACGCCTGGGGCCGGGGACGGGAGAGGAGGTGTTGAGTGAGTAGGAAGTTTGTAGGTGGAGGAAGGACAGGGACGCGCAGGTGGACAAGGGGAAGATGTGTGCCCAGGGGGCCTCGGGGCGCGGAGGACAGCCGCGTCTCGGGTCGCCGCTGTTCTTCCCGCCCTCGCTGCTGCTCTCCTCTCCTCTTAGGCAGGGAGGGCTCCTTCCTTGGGGATCCCCCTTCAGCCTCCCCAGGACAGATTTCAGAGCTCATGGCCGGCACGAAACATGGGCCTGTGATTGTGGGTCCACGTGTGCCACTCTGGGGACCCCCACCCCCCTCCCACGCCTGACCCTTGGCCGTGGTGACGCTTGCTTTCAGCCACCGAAACCCCTTAGTCCGGAAGTGCACCGCTGAGCACCTCTCCGCCGTCCTGGAGCAGATAGGCGCTGAGAAGCTTCTGTCGGGGACCAGGGACAGCACGGACACGCTGGTGCACAACCTGGTGAGGCTGGCCCAGGACTCCAACCAGGACACCAGGTAGGGCAGGCCCGGGGCCTGGGGGCAGATAAGGCAACAGGCAGCCCTGTGCAGTCCAGCTCCCCCTATCTGTGCAGGGACCGTCAGAGGGACAGGAACTGTGTCTTCTCCAGCTGTCATCCATCTCTCTCTAAGGTCCTGTTCAGGGAGGGTCCCGTACGCCCTGCCTGCACGTGCCTTCCATTCCCCTCCACCCGCTGCAGTGTGGCTCTCCTCTCCCCCAGCCAGTGCCACGACCTGCCAGTCTTAGAGAAATTGATTTAATGAGCATTCTCTTTGCTATTCTCACTACCAGAGTGAGTGAGAAAGACTAGCTCCCCTGTTATCTTGGAGCTTGCCTCCTAGCTGGAGGAGACAGGACATAAAGAAGTGGTTAGGATAATTTTAGATACAGATAAGAGATCTGGAGGAAAAAGCCAGGGTGCAGTGATGAATGGGATGGGAGCCTGGCAGAACTTTTTGAAAGAATGATGCTTGAGTTGAGAAGAGAATTTGGGTGTGAGATCCCAGGCAAAGGAGGTGGCACAGTGACCCCTGGATGGGGACAAGCTTGTCCAAGGAGCAGGTCAGTGCGGGGACGGAGCAGTGGGATGCGGGAGAGTGGCAGGTGCACCCACAACGTGGAGGGCTCCGAGGGCCTGCTCCCACTGTCGGATTTGGGCATCTGTTTGGATGCGAGTGAGGCTCTTGCTCCATCTGTACCACTGCTGGGGGCAGAGAGAACCCGGCCGGGCTCCAGGGGCCACACCCACCTGCCCTCACGCCTGCAGGTGCTCCCAGAGGGTGTGTGCAGAACCTCCCATCTGTGCCCCCGACCCAGTGGGGAGGTCTTGGCAGTAAGCCCAGATCCAGCGTGGGACCCAGGCCCCTCCATCCCCACCACCCTGCCACCACGTGGCGCTCTCTACTACATGACGGGTACAAGTGCTGGCTCAGTGTTGTGTCCAAGTACCTTCACCCTGCCAGTGTTTCTGTCTCTGCTGATCAACCTTTTGATTAAAAAGCAATCTCTGGCTGCCCAGGGGAGGCCGGCGGGTGGGGGAGGGGCAGGGGCTGGCGCTCCGACGGGGAGGAGGGTACCAGGTGGCTTTGGGTGTGTTTTGAAGACACAGCCAACAGGATGCGGGTGAGGAGGGTTTCAAAGAGGACTCAGGTTTTGCAACCAACCCCAGTGGGAGCAGAAAGGAGCGGCGTCGGTGGGGAAGCCGCCTGGCTGCTTTGTCGTTTTTAGCAGGGGGACGGAAGTCGGGATCTTCCGTCTCTCCGGGCGTAGCGTCTGCCTCCAGTCTGATCTTCCCTCCCTTTCGGTGACACTGGCTACACTTCCTTTCCCTTCTTGGAACCCAGTGCTTCCTGTTACCACGACTGCACCTCCTGGCCCTCTTTATCCCTCTGGGGCCATTTCATCTCTCCACCTGCCTGTGGTCTGCGTGGAGGTGGCTGCCCGCACGCCTTTAACTTGCCGTGGCTCCAGCCACGGGTGGGCTCTGATGCCCGCCAGCCTCTCCCTGCAGCTCAGACCCTCACTTGGGCATCAGTGCCTTATCTTTCACACCTCCACGGGACCCGTCAGCAGATGTCCTACAGTCATGTACAGAGTAAAGCGTCCCCTAAAGGAAACCCTTGCCTTGCTTGAAGGCAGCGTTAATTACCAAGTCACCCAGGATGCTAAGTGGGCATTCCCACACTTTAGGGAGTCTAAGACAAGTGCATGTTTTTTAAAAAAGATTTATTTATTTATTTGAAATTCAGAGTTACACAGACAGAAGGAGAGGCAGAGAGAGAGAGGTCTTCCATCTGCTGGTTCACTCCCCAATTGTCTGCAACTGCCGGAGCTGTGTTGATCCAAAGCCAGGAGCCAGGAGTTTCTTCTGGGTCTCTCATGCAGGTGCAGGAGCCCAAGGACTTGGGCCATCTTCTACTGCTTTCCCAGGCCATAGCAGAGAGCTGAATCAGAAGTGGAGCAGCCAGGACTTGAACCTGTGCCCGTATGGGATGCTGGCACTACAGGCGGCAGCTTTACCCACTATACCACAGGGTCAGCCCCAAGCGCGTATTTTTGAAGTCAGCGTGTATCTTGCAATCAGAGGCATCTCAGTTGCTGCTGTGTGGGCAGCCACTGTAATTTGGGCTTAACTATGGGCATATTTGCACACTCGGTCATTGTTGCTCATAGTATAAACTTCTGAATTGAAGTTCGCATTGAGGGAACTGTACTATGAGCCTTTGCTTGTCAACTTTTGGTTTAAGAAGTCATTTTGCATGCTCTGTGGAGAACGGCTGAGTCTGCTGTTTAAAATGTCTCATTAATATTACACTATTACCTGGTGTTGAAATGAAGGTTACTGCATCTGAGAAAAAAGCAGGGACACAGCAGTGAGCGCCATTAGACATCAGTGAGGCAAACTCCTGCTCATCGTTTGAGTCCCAATGCAAGGCCGACCTCTGTTATGAAGCCCTCCTGGATTTCCTCCCCCGCTCACCACTGTTCTTGGGGAGAGTTGACCTCTCCCTCCTGTGCTGCTGTCCAGTTGCACCCTTCCTCAGACCTCCAAGTGTCCCACACCAGAAAAAGGTCAGTACATTTTGGTATAGCCATTCCACGAAACACTGTGTAGCCATTAACAAGGATGCTTACGGGGTGGTCATTTGGCATAGCGGTCGGATCTCTGACTGGGATGCCAGGGTTCTGGTTCCACTCCTGCCTCCGGCTTCCTTCTGATGTGCACGCTGGGAAGTGGCAGATGGGGGCTCAAGTACTTGGGTCTCTGCCGCCCGTGCGGGAAACCTGGATCGAGTTCTCAGTTCCCTGCCCAACTCTGCCTGCTGGGGCAATGACCCAGCAAGTGGAAAATCTCTCTCTGTCTGTCTCTCTGCCTTTCAAATAAATACATAAATAAAATAAATAAAAATAAAGGATGGTTCCAAAGAGCTTTACATGGTGTGAGGGGATGGTTAATAATGAAGCAAGGAGAAGCTACCTGTAGATGCATTCTGATCTCAGCTAAAATGGAACGTGCGTAGACTGTCTGGGTAATGGGGTTGTGGGTGATTCCGTTCTTGCAGGGCTGATCTGCAACGGAAGGCCTGAAGCAGCCTCCCAGACTCCCTTGCTGTAACTGGGAGCGCATCTGCTGTGCATCTGGTGGCTGTTTGCTCTTGCTCTCTCTCCGATGGCAGGTTCTACGGTCGGAAGATGGTGAACATCTTGATGGCAAACGCTAAGTTCGATGCATTTCTGAAACAGTCGCTCCCGTCCCACGACCTGCGGAAGGTCATGACGGCCATCAAACAGCGGGTGAGTGGGGGGGTGGGGTGTGATTGGGTGGGGTATGAGTAGTGGGGTGTGATTGGGGGTGTGCGGGGTGTGCGGGGTGGCCATCTCTTGGGCTCGGTGCATCAGAGCCAGGCCTGGCAGCCGTTGAGTGGATCCCAGATGGCTTTGACTTTGTCTGCCACTCCTGACTGCCGGGACAAGTGTGGCTTCTGTCCCCTGTGCGCACACTTGGCCTGCTCCTCATTGCTTCTGTTCCTTGAGCCTCCCTGGGCCTCTACCTCCGTCTGTTACGTGGGAATTTTGACCAGGTGGGAGGGGCTGTCCCCAGGGGCTGCTCCTTTTGGTTCATGTTCTGTCTGCATTTTTCAAGGGAACAGAAGATAATGATGAACTTCCAGCTGCCAAAGGCCACAAGGTGTGCCGGAGCCTGGTGGTGTCTGAGAACGGGCTGCCCGGCGAGGAGGGGTATGGCTACTCTTGTCTCTCCAGGCTCCGTGTGCAGGATGCAGCCGACGGAGGCAGTGGGCTTGCCCATGGCCAGCGCTGGCTCTAGAGTGGCTGTGTGAATCTGTGTGGTAGCTGAGACCCGGTTGGGTCTGCCGTTCCCAACCACGTCTCAAGGAAGCCAAACTGAGGGTTGAGGCGCACCTGCCAGCAGAAGCCGGTTCCTGCCGAGCTGGCCGAGGGGGTGGGATTCCGCTCCTATGGGCAGGGCGCACTGTCTGTTGGGCCTTTGTGTGAGTGGAGCATCTCTCCACTCACTTTTCCCGGCAGATTCTTTCACCACCATGGTGGCCAGCTTAGGACAAGTTCAGAGGCAGTGCTGGAGCTAAGGCAGGTGGGAAGGCAGGGACTAAGTTGGAAAGCAAATGGGAGTCCCACAGTCACTCTGGGGCTGGAAACTCAAACCCTTCTGTAGTGTCCCAGGAGGATCAAATCTGCACTCCCTGGCAGGACGCCAGGGGAGCCCTCCATCCTCCCTTGCAGTAGAATCTCCCGATCTCCCCAGTCGCGTTCCCTGCCCCTCCACATGCTCTCTCCCTGCCGTGCCTTCTATGCCTAGAACACGCCTGTTGAGTCTGCAAGACCCAGTGCCCCCCCCTTTCTCCCAGAAGCTCCCCTGGTCTCAGGGTGGGCATGCTGCCCCTGCTCTTCATACCCCCATCAGCCCCTCTACTTCTCTGCCTCCCATCGGTCTGTGCACCTGTAAGGCAAAGCCCGTGCTCCGCATCTCATTGCTCTCTGCCCAGCACAGCTCTCGGCACTCAGGAGGCTGAGAGTGGACTCGGAGTGATTGACACAGCGCATGGTGATGAGCTCTGTCCCTCGGGCCTGGGGGCAGGGCACCAGCTCATGACCCAGGCTCTAGCTGGGGGTGGGACTGCTCTGTAGGGGTCCAGGTGGAGCTGCCCTCACCCTGGCTGGATGGGCATGCGAGCCAAACACAAGAGGAACAGGCTTCTCCACGCTGCCCCAGTTACGGGAGGAGTGTGAGCGGGGCCTTGCTCCCTGGCTCAGGCAGAGGTGAGCACCAGGCAGGAAGGTGGGCATGAGCTCCACGCCCCGCACGCCCCCCGTCCCTCTCATTCTTCCGGTGTCTTCTGCAAAGGGGCGAGACGAGGCAGGGAGCAAGCCCTGTCCCGTGACCAGGGGATAGGTCCCCAGGCCGTCATCTTGTCCCCTGGCTTCCAGAGACGTCCAGAGCTTCCAAGGGGGACTTCCAGCGCCTCCAAGCAGTAGGAGGAGAAGTTGGGGGTGGACTACACTGCAGGTGACACTGTTGTGTCTGCCTCTCCTGCATGTGGGAGGGGCCGTGGGACAAGAGGCGTCTTCATCCTCTGGGTCTCTTCCCCAGGGGTCAGACGCTTCCTCCACACAGGCTCAGCTCCAATGGCCCGCGACTGGTGGGGCCGCGTTCCTCTCTGAGGGGCGGCACGGAGCGGGTGGAGCAGCTACGGGAGCTGACGCGGCTGCTGGAGTCCAAGGAGTACCAGTCTCGGATGGAAGGCGTGGGGCGGCTCCTTGAGCACTGTAAGACCAAGCCAGAGCTCATCACCGCCAGCCTGGTCCAGGTGGGTGCCACCCGCCCCTCGTCTCTCTCCCGTGGGTGCAACTTCAATTTGAAAGACTCAGAGGAGGGTTGGGCATTGTGCTGGTCTCTTGAGATGTAAGGAGCTCAGTAAGTGCGTTCTTTCCCGTTGGCCCTTGTGATGCCAAAAGAGTACCTGAGGGGGCCGGCGCTGTGGCATAGCAGGTAAAGCTACCTATGGAATGCTGGCGTCCCATATGGGTGCCAGTTCGAGTCCCTGCTGCTCCACTTCTGATCCAGCTCCCTGCTAATGGCTTGGGAAAAGCAGTGGAAGATTTGGGCCCTTGCTACCTGAGTGGGAGTCCTGGAAGTTCTTGGCTTCTGGCTTCAGCCTGACCCAGCCCTGGTAGTGCTGCCTTCTGGGGAGTGAACCAGTGGAAGGAAGACCTCTCTCTCTTTCTCTCTCTCTGTAACTCTCTCTCTCTCTCTCTCTCTCTCTCTCTATATATATATATATATGTATATGTATATATATACATATTTTAAAGACTATCTGAGGCAACCAAGGGGCCAGGGCATTGCTTCCCACTGGGCACTGTGGAAACCTCTGAGATGTTCTGAACCTCTCATCCCTCGGGAGGACTGATGGAAGATGGAGGTGGAGGGTGCTTGGCTGGGCCCTTGGGTGCCTCTGGTTGGTTACCTGCATAATGCTTGGTCGGACAGGTGAGGGGCTGTGATGCCTGGAGAGGTGGGTTAGGAGTTGGAATAGCCTTTCACAGCCTGAACCTCCGGGCAGGTGCCTGCCTCTTCCTGGAGCGAGGCTACCGACAGCCATGTTGTGAGGGAGAGGACTGGTGCGGAGTGCGCAGACCCGGGTGCCCATCCCAGTCTCTTGCTGGCTGTGTGATCTGAGCCAAGTCGTTTAACCTCTCTGTGCCTCAGTTGTTGTTTGTGGGGAGGCGGGGCTGGTAACTCGGGCCTCCTGGTTAAGCTCGTTCAGGACAAGGCTGCAGAGTGCCTAACGTGAACATGACGCTCTGGACGCAGCGGGAGCTTGATGCGGGTCTGTTCCTCCCTCTTGCCCGCTGCCCCTATTGAGGAAGTGAGCTGTCCATCACCGGGACTGTTCTGGGACACACTGGACGACTCCTAGCCAGGACGCAGGAGGCGCTTGGCAGGGCTGGGTAGGCTCTGAGGTCCCCGGCGCTGTGGGACACCTGCCCCGCTTGGGTTTCCATGGGCTTTTGGTTTCTGTTCCCTTAAAAGGTCTTCGATGCTTTCACGCCAAGGCTTCAGGATTCCAACAAGAAGGTGAACCAGTGGGCGCTGGAGTCCCTTGCCGAGATGATCCCCTTCCTCAAAGAAAGCTTGCAGCCCATGCTGCTGTCCGTCATCGTCGCTGTTGCAGACAACCTCAACTCCAGGAGCGCGGGGATCTCTGCCGCCGCCGCCTCCGTGCTGGATGCCATGATGCAGCACCTGGGTGAGCATCAGCGGGGGGAGGGCTCCCGGCTCCCACGCCCTCCCTCAGCAGAGTGGCAAACAGCCCTGGGCAGCTCTCAAGCCAAGCAGTTCCCTGGGACCCCAGGGCTCCCAAGGCTCCTGGCCGGCGGGGTTTTCCCTGCTCAGCCTACCCCGGTGTCCAAAGAACACGGAGGTGGAGGTGATGTGGAGATGGCCCGCCAAGGGCCACACAACACTGATGTTTGAGTCAGGAGTGCTGGGAAGGCCTAAACCGGGCCAGGGCGTGGGGTGCAGGGTTAGTGGGGAGGGGTGGGGAGGGCAGAGGGGGTGGAGGTCAGGAGAGGAAAGAGCAGGAGGAGGGAGCTGTGGAAGAGAGCTCAGGAGAGGCGAGGGCATTCCTGTGCCTTATGTGCCTTGTGGTGTCTCAGCTTCTTGGGCATTAGGGGGAGGTTTTGCTACACCTACTTCTATCATTCCCTTTTTAAAAACCTTTTTTTATACTGTTGTTCTGAAGGAAACACCTCCACTTGTTTTCCCAAATATTTATATTATTTATTTGAAATGCAGAGTGATGGAGAGAGAGGGGGTGAGAGAGAGAGAAAGAGAAAATGTCTTCCATCTGCTGGTTCACTCTCCAAATGGCTGCTTATGGCTGGGGCTGGGCCAGGCCCAAACCAGGAGCCCAGAATGCCATCCAGGTCTCCTGCATGGGTGGCGGGGGCTCAAGGACTTGGGCCATCTTCCGCTGCTTTCCCAGGCACATCAGCAGGGAGCCAGGTCAGAAGCTGAGCAGCCTCATATGGGACGCTGGAGGTGCAGGTGCAGCTTACGCCGTGACACTGGCCCCTCTCCCATTCCTTTCCGGGACGGTGAGGAGGTGATGCTTGGCATATCCACTCACAGATGCAAGTGCAAGTTCAGAACTTGGGCTGTGCTGCTGTAGCAGTGGAGTGATGAGCTTTCACGAGCAAGTGAGGAGGTTCCTGCCTGACAACCGCCTTGGTTTGCCTCGTTGGGCACATTCTGATGAGCACAGGCCGTGTCTTGCCTTTAGCACCTGCAAGCATCGCCCGGGGATGCCGGGAACACGGCCTGGCAAGCTCTCCTCCCCCCCTCCCCTCCCGCTGCCGAGGCCCAGCCCAGCTCCCCGAGGCTGGGACAGCCGCCCTGTCCTTGGCTGGAGCCTCCAGGTGAAGTTTCGGTTACAAATCAAAGGCCTGGCCAAGCCCTTCTCTGCTTCTGGAGTTCATAAATATTGTCAATTTCCGCGTTTCATCTCAGAGGGAATTTATGATTTGCTGAGTTTGTTGCTGTAGAACAAACAATATAAATCCCGCTCTAAATTACAGCTTGTTCTCTGCGCGGCCTGGGGAAGCGAGATTGCTGTTGCCAATAACCAAGGCTCTTGGTAAATCACTGCGGGCCCTGGATTTATTGGGAAAACCTGCACCAAGCAGAACGGGCTTTAGCTATTTGAAGAGGATAAGCACTCACACCTGGGGAGAGGTTTTTTTCCTAACCCTTCCTCCTCCAGCTGTTTCAGGTTCTGATTTCTCCTTGAGCACCGTGGGGTGTCAGGAGGTTTGGGCAGCAGAGCTGGTGTCTCCCATTGCCCGGAAAGTCGGGTCCCCTGCATGTGGAAAGGGTGGGGGCTGGGATGCCAGTCCCTCATCTGCAGCTGTAACACAGTACCCGAGACGGAGCCCTTTCCAGAGAAAAGAGGTGGCAGGACGTGACACTCATGTCTGCTTGGCCCCAGCGGGGGCTCCAAGGGGGCTGGACGGTATGCGGAGAGATCTTGTGGCAGACAGGAACCCGGAGACCCCGAAGGGGCCAGTCTGGGAACGGACTCGCAGAGTCCAGCAGTGACCCTTCGGTGAGCGAGGTCCCCAGTGACCTAATCACCTCCCGCCAGGCCCCACCTCTTAAAGGTTCTGCCACCTCCCAATACCGCCACACTGGGGACCAAGCGTCCAACACATGGACCTTGGAAGAACAAAACACATCCAAGCTACAGTGGCCTGCTTTGGGGATCTGACTGCACCTCAGATGGGGCCACAGCCCCCAGGACGATGCCTGAGGTGCTTCCTCCCTTGGGGGTCGGGGTCTCCTTGGACATGGCTGATGACGGCCCCTCCTGGTCCACCTGCCAGGAGCTGTGGTGCAGGTACGGGGGACTGTCTTCCTGCCTGATGCTTAGGTCCATGCTCGGGCTGGAAGGGAATGGTGGCCTTGGTCTCCAAGGGATGACTGGAGTCTGATAGCAGGAGTAAATCCACTGCCTGGGCGCCACGTAACTTCTGGCAGGAGTGATAATGAGCTGTGTGGGCCAGGAGGCTTTCCCGTGGGCCACACCCTCTCAGCTCAGCCAGCTACTTCGGTGTTGAAAGTCTTAGGCCCTAGGAAATGACAGCTGATTTCTACAGCCATGCAGGTCAGAGCCAGAGGGAGAATTCGCCATTGCTGGGGGATGCCCAAGGTCGCAGCAAGGGCCCTCCAGGAATGGCTCTCACCCGCCGGGCATGGTCGGAGCCTGGCCTGCAAAGGGCAAAACAGGTGCAAGTAACAGAATCTCCAGCTATGCAGGGGACTGGGTGGGTGGGGTGGCAGAGACTGGAGCAGGGGGATAGAAGAGAAGGGGCAGTGGGCTCTCCAAACCACCCATGTTGAGCTGCGGGTCCCAATGGTTCCTTGGGGGGCCTTTAGTATCCCGGGCCCCTCCTGGAAGTGGCTTGGAGCCCTTGGTGAGAGGGAACTCTCTCCAAAGCTTATGTTTTCAGGCCCTGCTGGAATTCCTGTGGAACTCCACGGGGAACCGTGAAATACTTTAATGTGGAAAGCCACAGAGCGACTGCTTGGCGTGTCACCGTGTTTCCTGCTAACTGCAGGGCCACAGGGATCAAGAATCGTGCCTGGGGCTCTCAGATGGCGCAGACAGACCTGGAAGTTGGCTATTTGGGGGACCTCTGGGTCCCTCCTGGTTGTGGAATGCGGTGGTAGACCATTCGCCCAAGTCATCTTCTCGGAGTCCAGCATGGGTGAAGTTGAGTGTTGTCTTTGTCAGCAGAGTAGGTGGGGGCTTCTGCCCGTGCCCCCTTTTGGGGGCGATGAGGAAGGAGACACGTTGATGAGGAAGGAGCGTGCCACCTGTCGCTGCCTGCAGTGGGGGCTCTCTGGGGACGAGGCTCCGGGGCGTCTTCTGTTCTCAGCAGCAGGACCTGGGGATGGAGTGAGTTCCTGGCGGGTGGATGGGCTCTGTTCTGGGTGAGTTATACAGACCCCCAGTAATGAAAACATCGGGCTCTGACAGCACGTCCCCACCGGGTCACAGCTCTGTATTCAGGCTCCTCGGGCCGCAAGGAGCGCTCCCAATTCAGCCCAGCTCCCGGCCCGTGCTGGGGAGAGGAGATAAGCTTGCAGTGGGGGTGGCTGCAGATCCAATTTCACTGTTCTGCTGGCTGACTTTAAATTCATTGCCTAATATGAATCATATTATCAACATCACATTGTTAGGAGAATTTAAAAACCCATCCGTGATACCTCTCCAGTATATCAACTGCTTAGAAATGTTATTTTCTATTTTTTATCTATATGCATACAAATTTCCCTAGCTAAAAATCATAATGTACATACAATTTTGACTTTGCTTCTTTCATTTAACACTATCTGGTTTCCCAGGTATTATACAATCTTTCACATGCCACCATGTAGTCTTTTAAAAAGTTAACCAACTCAGAAATACAGAGTTTACTTTCCTTACTATAAAAGTCATGCTTACTAATTATTGAGAAAATGGCAAATACAAAGTATTTGAAAAGCCCTTTCTGATAGTGACTTCCAATTCCTTAAAAACAATTATTAATTTTGTGATTAGAATTTTAAAAATTTATATATTATCTTTTTAAGTTTTTTTTTTTTTTTAAGTGTAGAGGCAGAAGGCCTGGGTGGTTCCTGTCTGCTGTTTTATTCCCCAAATGCCCACAGCAGCCCTGGGCCAGGCCAGGGGCCAAGGCTGGGAGCTGGGGACTCAGTCCAGGTGCCCCACGTGAGGCAGGAGCCCCATCACTGGAGCCGTCACTGCTGTCCCAGGGTCTGCATCAGCAGGAAGCTGGAACGAGGAGCTGAGCGGGATCCTGAACCCAGGCGCTCTGACATGGGAGAGGGGCTTACCCGTGTTCTAATTGCTGGGCCTGATGCCTGCCCTCATTTGTCATTGAAAATGTTTTCTCTGCTTATTGGTGCACATAGTTGTGATTGTATTAGTCATCTGAATTTGAATCCTGCTTTAAAAAAAATCAGAGCACGGGCATTTACATGTGACTGTACACTTGAGTCACTTTTTTTGTTTTTGTTTTTTTTTTGACAGGCAGAGTGGACAGTGAGAGAGAGAGACAGAGAGAAAGGTCTTCCTTTTCCATTGGTTCATTCCCCAATGGCCGTTGCGGCTGGCACGCTGCAGCCGGTGCACCACGCTGATCCGAAGCCAGGAGCCAGGTGCTTTTCCTGGTCTCCCATGGGGTGCAGGGCCCAAGCACTTGGGCCATCCTCCACTGCACTCCCTGGCCACAGCAGAGAGCTGGCCTGGAAGAGGAGCAACCGGGACAGAATCCGGTGCCCCCACCGGAACTAGAACCTGGGGTGCCGGCGACTCAGGCGGAGGATTAGCCTAGTGAGCTGTGGCACCGGCCTCACTTGAGTCATTTTTAACAACCCCATCACATGGCTGCACCAGAACTCACACCTCTCAGGGCAGGTGCATTCGCCTTGAGATGCACAGTTTGGGCAGCCGCGGGGAATCTGGCTGTGGTGCCATTGTAACTTTCAGAGTCCCTTGCTTGTTGTCAGGAGTTCCAGTTTGACTCTTGCATCTCGTTGCCACCATACTTGACTTTCACACTTTCTTAAAACCTCATCTCTTGCTTCCGCTTCCCTGTAGCCTGAGGGTAGCATGGCCTGGTGACCTGAGAGCTTGGCTGAGTGGGACAGGTGTGAAGCCCCATGGACCCTGCCCTGTGCAGGGCAGCTGGGGTCTCTGGCCTGCCAGCTGGTGGTGACCGCTTGCTCCCCACTGCATGACTGAAAACAAGCTCTTCCTTGCGAGGCTGACCTGGTGCAGAAGAGGAGCCTATGGACACTCCAGGCAAGGCTGAGGGAGCAGCGCCTTTGACTGTCCACAGTTAGAGTCCAGCCTCTTGGTTCTCTCTGCCATGAAGGTTGCTGGCCTTCAGGGCGATCTGGGGGTAATCATAGTAACAATTGCTGCTACTTAACACAGGCATCATTTACACCGTTATGTTACCTTACTTAGTCTTTATTTATTTTTTCTTTTATTTGAAAGTATACAAACTTCATGCATTTCATAAATACAAATCTAGGAACATAATGATTCCTCCCACCCTATCTTCCCTCCCACCCACACTCCCGCCCCCTTCCTTCTCCTTCTAGTCCCATTTTTCAATTAACTTTATACACATATAATTAACCCTACACTAAGTAAAGAGTTCAAGAAATTGTATGGGGAAAAAAACCTGTTCCTCAACAGTCGAGAGGAGTGCTATTCAAAGTCATTGCATCTCCAAGTATCAATTTCACTTCTGTTGATTACCTTTTAGGTGCTCTGTTAGTTAGCACAGTTCAGAGAACATATGGTATTTGTCTTTTTGGAACTGGCTTATTTCACTAAGCATAATATTTTCCAGTTGCATCCATTTTGTTGCAAACAGAAAGATTTCTTTTTTCTTTTTCTTTTCTTTTCTTTCTTTTTTTTTTTTTTTTTTTTTTGACAGGCAGAGTGGACAGTGAGAGAGACAGACAGAGAAAGGTCTTCCTTTGACGTTGGTTCACCCTCCAATGGTCGCTGCGGCCAGCGCCATCTTGCTGATCCGAAGCCAGGAGCCAGGTACTTCTCCTGGTCTCCCAAGGGGTGCAGGGCCCAAGCACTTGGGCCATCCTCCACTGCACTCCTGGGCCAGGGCAGAGAGCTGGCCTGGAAGAGGGGCAACTGAGACAGAATCCGGTGCCCCGACCGGGACTAGAACCTGGGATGCTGGCACCGCAGGTGGAGGATTAGCCTATTGAGCCGTGGCGCTGCCCCCCCCTTTTTTTTACCACTATGTAGTATTCCATGGTGTACATAATCCCATACCTTTTTTTTTTTTTATCTGGTTCTCAGTTGATGGACATTTGGGTTGATTCCATGTCTTAGCTCTTGTAAACTGAGCTGCAATAGCTATTTAATCTTTTTTTTTAAAAAAATATTTATTTATTTATTTGAAAGGCAGAGCTACACAGAGAGAGAGAGGTCTTCCATCCGCTGTTTCACTCCCTAGATGGCAGCCATGGTTGGAGCTGCACTGATCTGAAGTCAGGAGCCAGGAACCTCTTCCAGGTCTCCCACATGGGTGCAGGGGCCCAAGGACTTGGACCATCTTCTACTGCTTTCCCAGGCCTTAACAGAGAGCTGGATTGGAAGTGGAGCAGCCGGGTCTCGAACTAGCACCCATATGGGATGCCGGCACTGAGGGAGTGGCTTTACCTGCTATGCCACAGCGCCAGCCCCGCTCATTTAATCTTTATCACAACCATGTGACAAAGGTATTAGTACCACCCCTGTTTCATAGATGAGCAAACTGAGGTAGGCAGAAGGAGGACAGGTGGCTGGTCCAACGTTACCCAGAAACAATGTGGAAGACCAGGATTGAGACATAGGCGATCCACACCCTCAGCTCCCACACTTAACCACTGTGCTGTATTATCTGTCATTCAGCTTGAGAGTGACCCCAAAGGGGAGCCTTCACTATGAAAGTGCCTAGAGCCCAGTCCTAGTGCTCTAGGGTTCATAAACCAGCTTGGGCAAGCTGCGTCTCTGTCTTGACATTGCACTGTACTCCACGAGCATTTATTGAGCACCTATTGTGTGCTATGCCCCACGGGAGCACAGTTTGGTGCAGGTATCTTTGGGTGTCCATTTCAGGTGTTCCCCGAGTTCACTTCTTTGTGGCTCCAGGAGGCCGTGTCAGAGGCCAGGAGTGGGGAACCCCAGCTGTGACCAGGAAGGGTCCTACACTGAGCATTGCAGGAGGTGACCAACAAAGGGAAGTCCATGCCTTTAAATATGGTCTCATGGCGGATATTGGGGTGGGACAAATAGAGCGGCTGGACACTATACAGGTGATGCTGATGGAAACACTTGTTCTCACACTATCACAACCTTGCCTGGATGCCCTGAGACTACTTCTTGCCAACTGCAGTATCCTAGGTGCTGGCGACTCAGTCTCCCAGGGTGAATTCATGTAAAGGCTCTGCCTTAGCTTACCTGTGCGAACAGCAGGAATGAGCTGCATGGGTTTTCTCTGCTGTATCCCTCCCAGCCCTCAGGAGGGGGACGAGGGAAGGAGGCTTGAGCTCTTTCTAGGCTTGTTGCTTGATGGGAAAGGCAAAGCGATGGGTGCACATCTAGGGAGTTCTGGGCTCTGGGTTGGAAAAGTGAAACCATCTGGAAAGACTTCGTCAGGCAGGTCTCTAAACTCTGTCCCCTGCAAAGAGGGGTCTGGCCTTGAGCAGTCTGCTCCTGGATGCCAGGAGCTGTGGTTTGAATGTCTCCTTGTTGAATGTCTCATGTTGAAGTCCAGGTGCCAGTGTGACAGTACTGAGGCGATTAGGTCACGAGGGCTCCATCCTCACTAATGGATTCAGGCTGTTACCGGGTGAGAAGGTTGGTGTCACAGGAGTGGTTCCTCATTGAAAGGATGAGTTTGGCTCCTTGCTGTCTCGGTTACACGCTCTTCCTTGCCCTCTGCCTTCTGCCATGGGCTAGGGCAGCACAAGGGCCCAGCACCGTGCCCTTGATGTCCCAGCCTCCAGAACCCTGAAGCCGGGCAAACGTCTATGGGTTGTAAGTCGCCCAGTCTGTGGTGTGCGTTATAGCAGCAGAGGACAGACTGAGACACAGGGCACTGTGGCTGGTGCTGCTACGGTGACGCCTGTGCAGTCTCCCAGGCTCCTCTCCCTGGCAGGTGCAGGCAGACCGCATAGCCCCTCCCTGAAAAACTGCATTCTCTGACTTGTTCTGCCTCTGACTGCTGGGACTGCGCGAATGTGGGCGGCTGGGTGGGTGGGGGCCCCACGAGTCAGGTGATCTGGAGGTCCAAGGAGAATGATCTGATCTTGTGCATTTCCTAGGTTAGCTCATCTTGCCTGGGAAAGGGCCACGGGTATCTTTGTGATGAACGCAGGGCTTCAAGTTTAAGCGTTGGACAAAACGTGGGGAGGAGCGGGCAGCTTTGCAGTTCCGTGCAGGTGGGGTCCTGCATGGCTGGCTTTGGAAATGCATCCAGGAAGCTGGAGGTCTCTCAGCCCCTGGAATGTCCCCACCCTCTTGGATTGTGGCCTCCCGGTTGGTGGTTCCTCTCTGGAATGAGCACTCCTACCACTTCAGTTCTTTCAAGATACGAATAGGGAGCTGCTCAGTCTGGGTGCTTCACCCGTGGGTGTGGCTGGGTAGCTGGGGGAGCTGTGCTCCTGGGGCTGGGGGAGGGTGAGAAGGCTCAGGAACAATTAAGGAAGAGTGTAAACATCACTCCAACCTTTTAAAACGTGAATGGGGCACGTGGAGGGAGAACTTTGCTGTCTGAGGTGTGTTCATGCCGGACCTGGGTATCGGACTGCTTGGGGTTAAAAGCCACAGGAAAGGGGCCGGCATTATGGCGTGCGGGGTTTGGGTTCGAGTCCTGGTGTTACAGATGCTGGTGCGGGTCCGGCTGCTCCACTTCTAATCCAGCTCCCTGCTAATGTGCCTGGGGGATGGCCCAAGTGCTTGGGCCCCTGCACCCATGTTGGAGACCTGGAGGAAGCTCCTGGCTCCTGGCTTCTGTCTGGCTCAGCCCTGGCTGTTGTGGCCATTTGGGGAGTGAACCAGCAGATGGAGGACCTCTTTCTCTGCCTTTCCCTCTCTCTCTGTGACTGCACCTTTCAGAAAAAAGAAACGAAATGGAAAAAAAAAAAAAAAAAGCCAAAGGAAGCAGGCCAGGTGGGGAGGTTGTGCCTACACTGGGAAGTAATGGACGCCCTCAGCACACGACTGCCCCCTCTGACCGCCCCCACTCCACCCTGGGCTGGGGCGCTTCTGCTCCCAATAGGATGAGCTGCCGTCCTGGGACGCGGGACAGAAAGGGCTGAAGGCCGGGCAGACCAGGAGTCGCCGCCCTGGCTCCAGGCCCCAGGCTCTGGTTTCCTGAGCACCGTGGCTCCCACCTGTGGTCAGTGGTCACCTGGTTCGATGTCTGTCCCCTGTCAAAGGAGCCTCTTGATGGGTGGGGAGGACCGTGTTTTGTGTAGTTCCCAGCTCCATGCCGGTGACGCGGGGGATGTGGGTAAGTTCAGAGCGAGAGTAAGTGACTACTTGGTGTGGTCCTGTCCTGTTGTTAGAGTGCGAGGTCAGGCTTGGAGGGGAGTCATTACTTCTCAGTTCTAACTCCAGCCCTACCACGGCTCGGTGCCTCGATTTCCCTTGAAACTACGTCTGTATATGTACAGGTTCATCCACGCCTCCCTCCATCTCTCTCTTTGTCAATCATCCATCTCTCTTATCCATCCATCATCCATTTACCCCCCCCTCTCCCTCCCTCCCTCCCTCCCTCCCTCCCTTCCATCTCTCTCTCTCTTTCTGTGTATCACCCATCTACCCTCTTGCCGCAGACTTCATGGCGGCTTTGAGGAGCAGAGACAGGAGGACTCAGATGCGTGGGAGTCCATGAGGCCTGCTTGGGAACCGGCTCATTTCAGCTCGCTCACTCTTCCCCAGACACCACATATACATTCGCTGCACAACGTGGCTCCATTGTGACATGGAGAAATAATTCTGCTCCCCAGTGGGCCTCTTCCCGATGCAGCCTGTGGGGCCTGGCACCATGAGCACAGCCTCACGGCCACTGATTCTCTCTCTTTCTTTCAGACCCCCTTTGCCTCCTGCAAGCGTTTGCAGGGCGGGCGCGTTTCCTGAGTGGCCGTGCGCTGCTGGACGTCACAGATCGCCTGTCGGGTGAGCGCCCCAGCCTACCCTGACCCCAAACTTCCGGTCCACTTCTCTTCTTTGGCATGAGGTCAAACCACCAACTTGCATTAGATCTCAAATAATCCCCACAGACCATTTAACATTTGACAATCTGCTTTTAAAGTTTATGTTTACTTGAGAGAGAGAGAGAGAGAGAGAGAGAGATATCACGCCCCTACTGTCTGAAATGGCTAGCACTGGGCTAGACAGAAGCCGAGAGCCAGAAACTCCGTCAGGTCTCCCCATGGGTGGCAGGAGCCCAGTTACCTGAGCTGTCCCCACTGCATTAGCAGGAAGCTGGAGTCAGGAGCCCGAGCCCTGGGTGGAATCCAGGTACTGCAAGGAGGGACGTGAGCATCTTAACTGCTAGGCTAAACACCCACCCCAATGTCGGCTTTTTTTTATTGGTGACAATCGCCACATTGCCAGAAGCAAATCTTTGTTTTGGTAAAAACTGGGTTGGGGGGAGGGATTTGTACGTAGCCCAGGCAGTTTTGAAGACGCTGTCGTGGGCCTGTGACCACAGGCAGCAGCACGGAGACCACCAGCAGCTCTGACCGCGGGCAGTTCCCTGCCGTAGTTTCATCCTCGTCCTCGCTTGCCCAAAGCAGCCCCTCCTGCCCGATCGCAGAAGGACCCGGCTCAGGAGGCCTCAGGCAGGCTGAGTCTGTTCCCAGGCTCCAGACAGGCCCCCTGAAACAGACAGGTCACACCACGCCCCTGTTGGAATCCTTGCCTGGCTCCTGCGCTGCCCTCAGGACAGCGTCCGAGACCCCTGCAGGGGCACACAGGCCCTGGGCCCTTTCTTCCCACCCCAGCTCACACGCGCTGGGCCCTGCCGTCCTCCTAATACCCCACAGGGAGGGTGTGGGCTCCACAGCCGTCCTTTGTATGGCGGTAAGAACAGAGCTTAGAAATGTCCCTGAGGCTAGGAGCAATGCAGGATGTGACCCAGGAGCCTGGCTGCAAAGCTGTGCTCTGCCGAGGCCCTGGGGGGGTCCCTCTGCCTGCTGGGCACCAGCGGGCAGCCCTCGCTGCTCTCCCACCACTCACACCCGTGCGTGGCTCCCCTGTCCGCAAAGCTCTGCGCCATGCTCTTCCTCCACTGGGCAATGCTCTCTGGCCCTGTCATCACCTCCTGTGTCCCCCTGGCCCCGTGCACGTCTCCAGAGCACACCGCATGGAGGCATTGGCCTGTCCCCCAGCCCCTTGCACCACGGCACCCGGGTTGCTCGGCACCTGGCCTGGCGCAGGCTCTCGGTACTGCAGCTCCTTCTGGCATCTTCTCTGTTGCTTCTCTCTCTCCCAGCCTTGCCCGCATCCTGGTGCAGTGCTCTGGGTGTGCCTGGCGTGGCTCTCCACTCCCATCAAGGTGCTGGGCCTTCCTGGGGCAGGCAGGGCTGGGGTGGCCGGGCGTGAGGACACGGGCATGCACTCACCCGGCCGTGAGAAGACACAGGAGCTCCTTTGTGTGCTCACGCTCAGCCATCTCTGAGTGAGGCCGCCGCCTGTCCTCACGGGGAAATGCATGGGCCTCACTGGGGACTGCTCGCTCATCGCAGATCCCACATTTGTTTCCAAGACCTCTCTAAAATGCTGGTTTCCCGGTAGCTCTTTGGCTAACGTGGCATTGGCCAGGCACCAAGAAGAGCATGTCCCTCAGTGCCAGGTGCAGCTTGGTAGGAGTCGATCTTCGGCTGATTACCTCTCTGCCTCTTCACTCCAGTTTCGTGGGGTTGGCTGTTCCACAGTCGCTCCCAGAAGGGCCTCTGTGGCCTTGGCCAGCTTCCGAGACCCCTGCCAGCCAGGTGACCTCATGTCCCTGCACCTGGCAGTGCAGCTGAGGTGGCCCGAGCTCTGTGCAGGGCAGAGGCGGATCCTGGGGTGGGAGGAAGCTTCCTGGGGGCTGGAGCGGGCTCAGGGAGGAGGCATGGTAAGAGTGATCAGAACACCTTGACTTCTGGGCGGGGGGAGGTTTGTAACACTCGCTGATCCCCAGGGGAGGCTGTGTAGATTGGGCTGCAGGAACCTTGAGGGTGTGGCCTGGCAGCCAACATGTGTACTCCCTAGAAAACACCTCGGAGACAGCACTGGGCTGGGCTGTCTGCTCACAGGGGCCCAGGTCGGCTGTGATTCTCAATACTTCAGGCTGGCTCTGAAATCTGAGGGGACCCTGGGGGGTTGGATGACGTTATGCTGAGGAGGGAAGGCAAATTGGGGGTTCCATTAAAAGTAAAGCAAAGCTGCAGACCGGCCCCTGAATGAGGAACTCCCCGGGGCTCAGAGGGACAAGGGGTGTTGGGAGGACTGTGAACTTCGGCCCCTGTCCTCAACCAGGCAGGGTCTTGAGCCAAGCCTCACTTTGCTCCCCTGGGAAGTGGACGTGCACCCTGCCTCTCAGGGGTGTGCTCTGAGCTGGAGCTGGAGGCACGGTGGGCGGGGGAGAAGCTCTAAGCCCTGGGTCCCCATAGCTTCCGGGGCACAAGCCCTTCCGGTTCCTCTGGCTGTCAGTCACATAGCTCCACTCTCAGTCTCATTTGCCTTCACCTTCAGCCCTGTCCTTGGCAGGACCGTGGGCAGAGGGGGCTGCTTGGCAAACAAGCGCAGTTTGCGCGAATGCACTTAGGGCAACCTGCCCATGGCCGGAGCAACTCTGTGCCGTGACCTGGGATAGCCTGCGATGTTGGCTGCAGCTCTGGGGATGGAGAGCTGGCTGGCAGGTGGAGCTGCCTGCTGGGTTCTCTTGAGTTTGCAGAGGGTTGAATAGCCCTTGCATAACCAGCCCTTGGGGGTTATCACGGGCACGGAGGGTCTGCACATTCGTGCCTCGTGCAGGGCTGCTGGTCTCATCGTGAGTTCGGGCACCCAGATGCTGGGAGGCCTGTGATGGTTTCGTTCCCCGCCAGCTGTTTTATCTGCCACAAAGCTTCCCTTGAGAGAGTCTTGACTTCCCCCTGCACAACAGCTTTTCTGTGCTTGGGTGGCCTTTCCCAGGAGGGGCTGTGGATTCTTTCAATACTAACACTACCTGAACGTACATAACACACACAGAAGACAGGACTCCAAAAACTCACAGAGGAGTGGAATCAAAATATAAGCTTATTGAGGCTGGTGCTGTGGCATAGCTGGTGGAGCTACCGCCTGCAGCACTGGCATCCCACAGAGGCACTGGTTTGAGTCCCGGCTGCTCCACTTGTGGTCCAGCTACCTGGTGATGCACCTGGGAAAGCAGCAGAAGATGGCCTGTCGCTCCCCCTCTTCGTGGAGGAACGACACTGGACCCTGCGCTGTTCTTTTGTCTGCTCGGCCCTTCCCGGGTTTGCTGCTGGTCCTTCCCGGGTTGGCTGCCGACCCCTCCACCTCCGTGGAGGGGTGGCTCCCCCTGCCACTTTCCCCGCTTCCGCGGAGGAGCGGCACACTGCCGGCCGGCTGTCTCGGGGGCTGCTCAGGTGTTCCTTCAGATGTTCCCAGTGCATATTGTTTCTCTCCTCCTTTATAGTCCTCTTCCACCAATCCCAACTCTGCTGCCCACACGCCGAGCACGCTGCTCTCCTCCAATCAGGAGCAGGATCAGCTCCTGCAGCTCATCAGTCAAACTGGCGAGAGGCAGCTGCGTAGAAGTTTACTCCTCCCCAGCGCCATATTGTGGGAGAGCAGATGCATAGAATAAGTCTTAATTCCAGTAACTTAGTCTAGTCTCAGTTGCTCCCCACAGTTCCCCCTTTCTTTTTATTCTTTGGCGTTGATACGCGCCTGTCTTCGGTGCCCCGCAGCACACACTCTGCTCTGCTTGCTAGAGTTGCCCACAGGTGCTTACAAGCCCTACCAATCAGGCAAACCGAATCCGGGTCCTCTCTTCACCATGTTGTGAGGAGGTTTTTAGGCGCTGATGCGTGCCTGTGTTCGGTGCCCTGCAGCACACACTCTGCTCTGCCTGCCCACAGGTGCTTACCACCTTACTAATCAGGCAGACCGAATCCGAGCCTTCTCATTGCCATATTGTGGGGAGACTTATTGGTGTTGATAACGTGCCTGTCTTCGGTGACCTGCAGTGCATAAGCTGCTAGCCACCCGCAGGTGTTTACCGCCTTACTAATCAGGCAGACCGAATCCAAGCCTTCTCATCGCCGTGTTGTGGGGAGGCCTTATTTTTCTCTATTTCTCTATCTCCAGGTATTCCTATCTCTCCTATTTTACTTCTATCTGCCAGCATTCCTATTTCTCTCATTTTACTTCTATACTTCTGTTTCTCTTATCCCCGCGGCTTCCCGGCGCCTCGCCCCGAGGCAGCTTCCCAGCTCTGCGCGGCTTCAGCCCGCACTTCTCTCCTCTGCGTGGCTTCCCAGCTTCGCGCGCACTCCGGGGTCTCCCCGCCCTTTGCGCCTGCACCACGGCCTCCGCGCCAGCCCCAAGCTCTCCTATCTACTTGTGCCCCGTGCGCTCTCTCCGCTCCTGCCCCGCACGCTCTCTGCGCTCGGCGGCTTCCGCGAATCACGGCCTAGCTCACGTTTCTGCTTTTGGTTTAGTTTTCAGTCTAAGTTCCCCGGGCTAACCTGACGAATTCCAACCTAGCTTACGTCTCCGCTTTTTGGTTTGGCTTCCTGTCTTTTGCTCCCTGGGCTAATCTGACGGATCCCAACCTAGCTTACGTCTCCGCTTCGGCCTACCCCCGTGGCTTCACTTTCCCTAGCTTATATTTTTCTCTACCCGGTACTTTTCCTAAGTTTCTTCCAACAATATTTCTCTCATTTCTCCTGGCTTCTCCCCACAGTCCGTATCCGAGTCTAAGTTTCTTCTAGCTTTCACTTTCACTTTCAACCCTAGATTTCTCCTGGCACTTTTTCCGTCCGGCTTTTCCCTAGGCTCTTTGCTAGTCTCTCTCTCCGGTATTTTCCTGCTTCTTCCCTCCTAGGTTTCCTATCTGAGTCACGGCACCATTATCCCTCCTAGGCTCATATCCAAGTCACGGCACCATTATGTCACTCCCCCATTTGCGGAGGAACGACACAGGACCCTGCGCTGTTCTTTTGTCTGCTCGGCCCTTCCCGGGTTTGCTGCTGGTCCTTCCCGGGTTGGCTGCCGACCCCTCCACCTCCGTGGAGGGGCGGCTCCCCCTGCCACTTTCCCCGCTTCCGCGGAGGAGCGGCACACCACCGGCCGACTCTCTTGGGGGCTGCTCAGGTGTTCCTTCAGATGTTCCCAGTGCATGTTGTCTCTCTCCTCCTTTATAGTCCTCTTCCACCAATCCCAACTCTGCTGCCCACACGCCGAGCACGCTGCTCTCCTCCAATCAGGAGCAGGATCAGCTCCTGCAGCTCATCAGTCAAACTGGCGAGAGGCAGCTGCGTAGAAGTTTACTCCTCCCCAGCGCCATATTGTGGGAGAGCAGATGCATAGAATAAGTCTTAATTCCAGTAACTTAGTCTAGTCTCAGTTGCTCCCCACAATGGCCGAGGTGCTTGGGCCCCTGCACCCACGTGGCAGACTTGGAAGAAGCTCCTGGCTTCCTACTGGCCCAGCCCTGGCCATTGCAGATGAAACAGCAGATGGAAGATCTCTGTCTCTCCTTGTATCTCTCGTAACTCTGCCTTTCAAGTAAATAAATAAATCTTTATATATAAAAGCTTATTTTGATGCAAAAAAATTTGAAATCCATGTGTAATGAGTCTTCAAAAAGGATATGAGAAATATTTGTTATTATTTATTATGCATGGATTTCAATTTTTGTATCCAAAATAAACTTCTATTTTAATTGAAATTTCCTCAAATGCCCACAGTGGCCGGGCGTGGGAGAGCAGCAGTTGAAGCTGGGAGCCAGGACACTTGTGCTGACACTACTGCCTCCCAGGGTCTGCAGTAGCAGGAAGCTGGAGCCAGGACTTGAACCCAGCTGCTTGGATGTGGGACATGGCTGCCTGAACTTCCGGGCTAAGTGCCACAAACTTTTTGAAGTATGCTCCTCTGTGTTTTTTATTGAATCTTTAAAAATCTTCAGGGCTTGGTTCAGGAGGGTTGTTCTTTCTTTGCAGCTTTGGAAAAGGCTCAGAAAGGTGGGCTGGCTTTCTCTGGCTCTTGCAGCTGGTAGGCAGCAGAGCCAGGGTTGTCACCGGGCGTGGCTGCCTCTTTCCTCTGCCCTGGGCTGCAGGGACCCATTGTGATCTCCCTGGGCAGTGTGTGCTTCTGCCTGTGTGCACACCTTCCTCCTCGGGCTCCCAGAGGCAGAGCTGGCGGCTGGGGAGACGGCAGTGGGAGAGGAGTGCGCCCTGCTCAAGTGACCATCCCTCTCTTCTGTCTGACAGCGCTGGTGGCCTCGGTTTACCCTCGGAAGCCGCAGGCTGTGGAGCGGCACGTGCTTCCTGTCCTCTGGCACTTCTTGAACAGTGTGCCGGGGAGCAGCGTCCTGCCCAGGCACGGCGGCAGCGTTGGCGCGGTGGTGTGCCGGCTCACTGGGAGCCTGCGGGAGCAGATGGGCTCCCGCCTGCAGGACTTGGCCGCCGGGCAGCCAGAGCACGTCTTCAAAATGCTGCAGCACCTCCTGGATGCGACCCCCACGGCAGGCAGCGGCAGGGTCGCCAGCAGAGAGCTGCCACTCGGCGGCAAGGCAACGGGCAGCTGACGGCCCTTCCAGCTGCGGGAGAGATGGGTCTGAAACGGGCGATTAATATTTTTATCTTATTTTATTTTTCTGATGTCATCATCTCCCGGCCTACCTTCCCCCTTAGAGTTCCAGATGTATACAGTATATTTTGAAGTAGAAATAAAAGAAATGCTATTTTTCTAAGGTTTTATTATCTTGCACTGGAAACAATATTTATTCACATATTGGAGACACAGAATCTCTGTCTTTCTCTCACACAGTGTTTGCATCACTGATTCACCCTCCAGCAAGAGTAAGAGAGGGAGAGGGAGGGGGAGGGGGAGGACCCTTCCATCTGTTGGTTCAGTCCTCAAATGCCTGTAGTGGCTGGGTCTGGGAACTGCAATGCTGGGAGCCAGGCACCCATCCAGGTCTCCCACAAGGGTGAACCCAGTTACTTGAACAGTCACCGCTGCCTCCCAGGGTCTGCAGAGCAGGAAACAGGATTCAGGAGCCAGAGGCAGGAATCAAAGCCAGGTAGTCTGGGCATCTTAACTGTTAGGGAAATAGCCACTCTTATCTTGTACCTTTTTTTTTTTTTTTTTTTTGACAGAGTTAGAGAGAGAGACAGAGAGAAAGGTCTTCCCTCCATTGGTTCACTCCCCAGGTGGCCGCAACAGCCAGAGCTGGGTAGATCCGAAGCCAGGAGCCAGGTGCTTCCTCCCGGTATCCTATGCGGGTGCAGGGGCCCAAGCACTTGGGCCATCCTCCACCGCCCTCCCATGCCACAGCAGAGAGCTGGACTGGAAGAGGAGCAACCGGGGCTAGAACTGGTGCCCGTACGGGATGCCGGCACCGCAGGTGGAGAATTAACCAAGTGAGCCAGGGCGCCGGCCCCTATCTTGTACCTTTTTAACCTCAGAGAAATTTCCAGTAGCTGGGTTGGGCGCCAACATAATGAAATACAAAAACGGCAACGCTGGTTATGGGGGAGATGGAGATGAGAGCTGTGGAAGAAAAGGGTTGCGTAGATCCACCCATTGCACTGCATTTTGGGGCCGAGTCCCCCGTCTGTGGGCATGGGATGGCTCTCCGGGGGCCCCAGGCTTCTGAGCTGTCATCAAGTCAGTGCCTGATCAGAAGTGAGCACACCAGACATCCCTGGGGACACCGTGCTTGTGCCTTGCCAACTCCGCAGTGCAGCAGCCTGGTGCTGTGGCAGCCGCCTGCAGGGAGCTGCGGGCTCAGCCGGAGACACAGGGCCGTTGATGCTGTCTGGCTGAATGCCGCCTCCTGGCTCTGGAAGTTGCCATTCTGGCTGGTTCTGAAAGGACCAGAGGTCGCTTCACCCTTGGAACACCCTAAGTGGAAGCACTCAGTGGCTCTTGAGCTGCTAGGCGGTATACAGACATCACACGGACCCTGCATTTGCATGGGCTGCTTAAGTCGGCCGTGATGCAACACTGGAGGGGAGGGGGTACAGTGTGGGGAAGCAGGGAGGAGGTGCCGGCTGCTGGGGTAGCAGCCAGGGGGATGGGGCCTTGCGGGGCACTGGAGGTCTGGGGCTCAGGTATGGACACAGTAGTGGTGGCTTTGCCTGGGCGGGGGCCAGTGATGGGTTAACAGCCATGTGACCAGAGATGATTGGAACTCAGCGGTTCTGCAGACACACAGGCAGGCCTGGTAAGGCGATGGCTCCCAGGACAGCGCCTTGTCCTTGCCAAGGAAACTGCCCCATTTGGTGACAGACACAGTGAGTTCTCCGGCCGTCTCCACCCCTGCTCCGTGGTCACTCGTCCCCGAGCTGTGACATCAGCTCTATGTCACTGTTCTGAGCCTCCCCTGAGGAAGTCCAACTACAAAGACACTACAAAAGGTCTGTGGGAAAACGCAGTTCAGTTAAGTTTAGGGGCAGTTGTTACGGTGCAGCGTGTTAAGCTGCGGCCGTTTGCGACGCCAGCATCCCATATTAGTGTCAGTTTGAGTCCTGGCTGCTCTGCTTCTGATCCAGCTTCCTGCTAATGCATTCTGGGGGAGCAGACGATGGCTCAAGTACTTGGGTGCCTGACACCCATGTGGGAGACCTGGATAAAGGTCTCTGGCCCAACCCTGGCCATTGCGGCCATTTGGTCAGTGAATAGCAATGGAAGATATCTCTCGCTCTTGCTCTCACTCTGTTTCTGCCTTTCAAGCAGATTAAAATAAATAAGATTTCTTAAAAAAGATTTATCTTTTGCACTTGAGAGACAGAATTACAGAAAGAGAGAGGGAGAGACAGAAAGAGGTCTTCCATTCACTCTTCAAATGGCCACAATGGCTGGAGCTGGGCTGATCCAAAGCCAGGAGCCAGGAGCTTCTTCCAGGTCTCCCATACAGGTGCAGGGGCCCAGGCACCTGGGCCATCCTCTACTGATTTCCCAGGCCATTAGCAGGGAGCTGGATCAGAAGTGGGGCAGTGGGACTTGAACTGGCTCCCGTACGGGATGCCGCCGCTGCAGAGAATTAACCTACTAGGCCACAGTGCCGGCCCCATAAATAAGCATTTTCAAAAGAAGAGATAAGTTTATGTTGGTGCAAACCCTTTTGAGATTTGTGTGTGTTTTTTTTTTTTCATAAAATGCATTTTCCTTGAACTTTTTCGAGACCCTCATTTACTCCTTGTGAGTGCCCACATCTGAGGAAGCCACTGCCCACTGTCTGTGTGGCCTGTGAAGCCAGGCCAGGCCCCTCCCTGTGCCCTGGTGTGACACCCAGCCCTGCCGAGTCATCCTGGAGCCTGGGCTTTTAATAGGTGGCTTAAGTGTGATTTTGAGTAATTCCAGCCCGGTGTGAGCTGCTTCTCACCTGACTGTGACCCCGGCAGGGGCTGCCCCACGGTCACCTGCTCCTTGTTGATTTGACTGAAGCCGGTTAAAGGCCTTCGAGACAGGGACTCATCCAAAGATGCCCGGGAGACGGCTATTAAAAGTTGGTAAAGTTTTACACTGTTTAACTGGTTGTGTTTTCTCTCCCGGCAAACTGGCTTGGTTGGGAGGCTTACATTCTGTGCTTGTTAAGATGCTAGAATGGATCAGAATATTTCACGGTTCTTTTTAGAACCTCAGGGACCCTGGGACCTAGAGTTTGGCAGGGATTTTGCAAGTGCACCTTAAGCTCAGTTCTGTGGTCTTCCACGCCCAGTTCCTGCCTTCCATGCCCAGCCTGAAGCCCAGAGCTTCCCGGCCCGTGGCATCTGTGGCCAGCTTCACGGGTGGAGGGGTTGAGGATGGAAAAGCAGAGGATGAATCTTTGCATTGTCCCTTTCTCCTTATTTCAAGTTTTCCTCTAGGGCAGGGCAGCTGAGGGCTTTGCCGGCCACACACACACACACACACACACCCGGCGCTATGTGGCTGGGGAGGTCGTGGGTGGTCCTGCTGCACCTTGGGAGCGCCAGGCTCAGAAAAGGGGAGAGGGCCGGCGCCTTGGCTCACTTGGCTAATCCTCCCCTGCGGTGCCGGCACACCAGGTTCTAGTCCCGGTCCGGGCGCTGGATTCTGTCCCGGTTGCCCCTCTTCCAGGCCAGCTCTCTGCTGTGGCCCAGGAGTGCAGTGGAGGATGGCCCAAGTACTTGGGCCCTGCACCTGCATGGGAGACCAGGAGAAGCACCTGGCTCCTGGCTTCAGATCAGCGCGGTGCACCAACCGCAGCGGCCACTGTGGAGTGAACCAACGAAAAATGAAGACCTTTCTCTGTCTCTCTCTCACTGTCCACTCTGCCTGTCAAAAAAAAAAAAAAAAGGGGGGGGGGCGCAGGAGTGACCTTGTCTGGGCCTGCTGGGGAAGCTTGTTCCCAGAGCCAGGCTGCGCTGCGGCTGGGCCACCCCGTCCTGTCCTTGGCTGTGTGTGTGTACCAGGACCTGCTCTCTGGAAGCTGGGGTTTGGGGTAGGAGTTCGGCCTCCCCTGCGATTCCCCACCCCCACCCCCCAGCCAGAATCCTGGAAAGCATGGAGCCGAGTTTCTGAGATTTCAGCAAACTCTGCCTGCGGGCCCTGCCTCTTATCTGATTTTCTGTTTTTCATTTCCTTCCTTCCAAGATAATAACAGTTCTTCCATTCTCTGCGCTTTGGAATCAGCTGGCAAGATTTTAAAAAAAAAAAGTACTCTTATCAGGCCATTCTCCCAAGGGATTTTAATTCAATTGGTTGAGGGTGGGCATAGGCAGCTATTTCTTTCTTAAAAACTTAAAAAAAAAAAAAAGCCTGTGGGTGATTCCAACAGGTGGCTAGATTCAGAAACCACAGGAAAACGGGGCTCCTGGCCCACCAGCTCCCCTCCCCGCAGCTCCGGGCTGTCCTGGGTTAGGACAGGGCCTGGGGCACAAACCCAGCACCGAGTTAAGGAAGGCCTGGCAGGTGGTGTTGGCTTTGGATCCTCTGTGCACCTGCCTGATTCTCACCATGCTTATGGAGCCTGTGTGGGGCGGGGCCTTGCTGCGCCTCAGCCTGGCTGCCGTGAAGGCTGAGAGAACTCTTGGGAAGTCCCTAGCACAAGGCCAAGGGCGCAGGGAGCCCCAGGTCAGTGCTGGCCGCAAGGTTTTGTGGCCATCGCTTTAGGAGCTGTTAGCAGCGGGGCTTGTGTGGGCTCTGCCGCCTCCGGCGTCGGGAAGGGAGGGAACAAGCTGGGGTTCTTGGAGCAGAGCCTGGCTCAGCCTGTGCTGGCTGCTCTCCTCTGGGACCTGAGGGCTGGGGTCTCCCCTTTGGAGCAGGTGCCTGTCCCACCGCAGGAGAAAACCCGGATGCTCCTCTCCCTGCAAGGCTACTCCATGCTGCCTGCTCCTCTCCCCTCCTGCTTCCACTTGCCCTGCAGGAGGCAGGGTGACTATCGGGGAGCAGAGCTGCCTCCTGCCGGGGGCCTTTCCCCTGCACTGCGGCTCAGTGCTGCCACAGGAAGGGAAGGGGGCGATGGTGAGGGCGAATCGTCCTCCTGGGTGGAGAGAAGATGGAGGCCCAGGAAGAGAAGAAGGAGGGGAGGCAGTCTCCAAGGTCAGTGTCTACGCAGTTCCTGGTCTGTCATTCTTCTCGACGTCTTATAGGGAAAGCAGTGTTTCTTCTATTTCCTGATGGGGGAAACCTGGCCTCGGAGGGGTGTGGTGAGCGGCCCTGGCCAGTGGGCAGGGTCACCTGGAGTCCTGGGTGAGCAGGTGGGCCTGCATTTCCAGAAAGCTCCAGG